TATATATATATATATATATATATATATATATATATGTATGTATGTATATATACATATATATATACGGACGGACGGACGGACTACTTTGAACGTCTATACAATTAATAAAGATGGATTCTTCAGTGGTCACAGTCACACAAATCGCAGAACGATCGCATGTAGACGAATTCACACCGATCATAAAGACACTTAGACCATAGTTTCGTTGACGTTATCTCCGTTAGAAAAAAAGAACATATCGTTAAAATCCGTTAGAACACGCGGTTATCGACGAGCGACAACGTTTAGCGACGTTTAGCGAAACGAAAAACGTCCTCGCAATTGGACCGCGACAATACACTAAGGCATCCGCGAGTCATACGTAAAATCTCTACCAGGTTGTCGCTCTCTAATCCGCTCAAGCGACAATTCTACTGGTGTATAAAACGCCATAAATATAAATATATACGTACATGTAGCTACAAACTACAAACAGGTAATACCAGCGAAGAGATAGTTAATACTGAAAATGTTCGAAGGTTTCCCCAACGAGAATATACTTTGTAAATGCGCATGTAATTGTACACACACGTGTACTATATATATAATACACATAAAAATAAGTACAGCGAGAAAGAGAGAGAGGGAATAGGGAGAAGGGGGAGGGGGAGAAAGAGAAAAAGAGATTAAAAAAGAGGATATTCAATTGCTCGGTATATTCTCGTCGTCCTGCTGATCGCTGGTCTCAGCCGCAGAAGGTATTGTGGCGAGTAATCTAACGGCCAGTCTTCCTGGCGATCCTGGGGATTCCGGCTCCTGTATGGCGAGCTGACGGGTTAATCGCGGCTTCGGCCTGGCCGGCCTCGGCGTGTTGCGCGCGCTAATCTCTAGAGAGGCACTGGATCTCGAGATGCGCCAGGTACTGGTGCTGGCAGTGGTCGCGGAACCGGAGGAGTCGTTGCGTGAGGAGCTTAAGTTCGAGTCCTGCGACGGTTTCCTAGTGATCAGCCAGGAGGTGGCTCTCCGTTTCGGATCGAGCAGCCTGAGCGGAATACCGCAATGGTGCGTCTGCCGCCACGAGTCCGACCTGGACGAAGAGAAGTTCTCGCTAGACGATACCGAGGACGCGCGTTTGTGTTGCTTCTCCTGGATCTGAGCGATCTGGTAGGCGTATTGATCGTTTCGCGTGTGTCGCGGCCGAGAATCGCGCGCGCACGGCCAGAAGATCCCGGCGCTCCACCAACGGTAAGAAGGACAGCGGCTGGTCTCTAGCAGTCTCGAGTTACAAGCGCACGGCGTCTGGAGGCCCTGGTTCTCCCGCGACGACCTGTCGACCAGGCTGTTCGTGTTGGCCGGTGTCTGGCGATTGCTGAAGTTGGAGCTGTGCCGGCATCTACCGATACCGCGAGTCACGCGTGACTCTTCGATCGCCTTGCATATCAGCACGCAGTCCTTCTTAAACTGCTTCGTAAGGATCGCGTACAAGAATGGATTGCAACAGGAGTTGAGCGGCAGCACGAACACCGCGAACACCTTCGCCTGCTCAAGAGATATCAGCTGCATCCCAAAAGTTGCCGTGAGAGAGAAAAAGGCTATCGGCGACCAGCAGAGGAAATCGGTGAAGACGAGTAACGCCATTCTCTTTGCTATGCGAGAATCGTTCGAGTTCCACGCCTGGGAGCCTCGAATCGCGCAGTACATCTTCAGGTAGCAGCCCATCAGTATCAGGAAGGCCACACCGTTAATAAGCATGAGAAATACCACGTATGCAAGCGCTGCGCTTCCGTTTGTCTCGAACGGCAGACAAATGGCGAATTTTCTGTAATCCGAAACTCCCAGCAGCGGCAGACTCGCCATCGATAGCGCGAAGCACCAGCCTATCGTCATAATGTAGCCCGCGTGCTTCAACGACAGCCGCTTGTTCAAGTGCATCGCATGTGTTATCGCGTAGTTCCTCTCCAAGGTGATGACGGCGAGCGTGTAGACGCTTAATTCGGAGCTGAGGACACCCAAGAAACCAGCTAATTGACATCCAGCCGACATCTGCCACGGTATCGCATACATTCGAAATTCTCCCAGTGTCGACGCATCGACGACGGCTAAAACACCTAAAATGATAATATGTATGTCATTTATCAAATAAAGGTAGTAGCACAGTTATTTTATTGTTTAAAGTAATAAATACACGGGAGAGAGAGATAGGGAAAACTACTTTTTTATTTTTGAAAACAATTTGTTACCGCTATCGTCACGCAAGAAGTTACATTACACAGTTCTGTTATTTTCCTCGTCAAATTTTGAAGACTTTTCTTTTACGTTTTGCTGCGAAAAAAATGTAATTGTGCTACTCTTGTTGTTACCAATAAAAAGAGGAAAAAGTCATTTTTAAAAGTATCAAATCGTTATTGAGAGAAGTAAGTTCTAACGGTAAAGGCCTTCTCAACGAGAAATGACGCGTTATTTCCTAACTCTGGTTAAATCAGTATAAAGAAAGATAAAAGAAGAGATGCGAAATTATTACCTAGATAAACGCCCATGAAGAAGTCGGCAGCAGCTAGGTTGCAAACTAAAAATCGCGGCACATCCATTTTACTTCTTGAAAATATCAAGACAAACACTACTGTGCCGTTCCCAAGCATGGCGAGGAGGAAGACTATCCACACGCCACACCGTAAGGTCCACCAGTCGAATAAGTCTTGGCACGGTAGAAAAGGACCTGCAAATTTCATGTGTAGACGTATGCGAATCAGGATAAAACGTCGCTGGACGATCGGATCTCGGCGATATTGACCGAGTCAACGAGACAGAACCACGACGTACCAGGTTGTGGCAGGCATTGGATATGGGAAGATATCGTCCGAGTCGTCGGTGTCGTGCGACTTTCTAGCTCCTCGAAATAATCCTCTACGTAGGAAGGCAGGTTTCCTGGATACGTAAAATCTGAACCAAAGTTAGCCCAAAGTTCATTTATTTGTGATCCAAATTTGTCGGTCAAGTTATCTAAAAAATATTTATCACTTCAGTGCCGCAAAGATCGATGATGGAACATGATAACGATGAATGCGAGAGAACAGATGACATATGGATGAGATAAGAGTGAGAGTTTTCTTTTTTATATCGAATAATATCGCTACGCGATATTATCAAATATCCACGACGAGACTTTGCAGCAGTTAAGTGTTAAATAAAGCATAATGTATGTGTGTATATGTGTGTGTTTGTATTTGTGTGTGGCATATAAGTGTCGAGAGATGCAAAATGCAAGATGCGCAGCGCGAGGATGACAGAAATGACTCACCCAATTGTGGCCAGATATCGCTGGAATTCGAATTCCATAAGCTCGCGTCAAATTCATTGTCAGTGGGGAATAAAATTGATTCCCGTACCGGCGAGTTTGTGACAGGTTCTTCCACCTCAACCGACAGAAACGAGCAGCAGTGATAAGCGTATGACAGCAACATCGTTTGTACTCGCGGAAATCTTTCGGGAGATGGAAATTCTCGCAGCGCAGGATTATTGAACGTCTTAAGGTGCAGCAATCCTGCTAGACCTCTTATTGGCAGTGTAGGGAAAACATTGTTTCCCAGATTTCTACGAACGCAAATATTTTAATTATGCTCGACAGACAATTTATGAAATTTAATTTAACATGTTTGCTACAGATCATTTTATCTAACACGTCTTTATCCTGTATATTTTTTATACAATAACTTGTTTGATAAAAATTTACGTAATTTTACGTAATAAAAATGTATGTAATAATATAGCAGACTTATAATTTATTTATATCGAATGAAAGAACATCGCTGTCACACATATATGACGTCGATCATGAGAGATCGGTACGTCACACATATGTGAATGTTGGTAGCGAACGTGTTAGTCACGAATGTTAACACTTACAAGTCTTCCAATTGCTTCGTTTCCCTAAATGCATCGGGGTGTATGTATTCGATGTAATTGTTCTCCAAGTCTCTAAAATATAATCAACTCGATTGTACATACGCTGGTGTAATTGAAAACTCATAAAATCACAATGCGTTGGACTTACAAAACTTGAAGTCTAGATAGGCCGGCAAACGCATCGCTAGAAATGCTTCGCAAATTATTGTTGGATAGGAGGAGATCGTGCAACATACTCAAACCATTAAAAGCATCATCTGGTAGCGCGGAAATCTTATTGCTAGCTAAATCCCTAAAAAGATAACGTTTAAATTATTCACGATACCTTCAATGTATTCAAAATTCTTATGCACGTATTATCATACATGTAATCGTATATTATATTACATACTTACAAAACGCGGAGTTCACGGCAGTTTCGTAAATTTGGTATCTCTGTTAAATAATTGGACTTGACGTCGCTGAAAGCAAAGATAGAATTTATATAGCGCGAGAAATAATTACTATGCCGTTCAAAAGCAATTTTAGTGAAATTGCGACTTAACGAATGCCGAACTTACAGACTCTTGAGTTTCGGACATTGTTGACAAAGATTAGAAGGAATCTCCTTCAATTGAGAACGATCTAATCTCAATACCTCCAAAGATATAGCTCCATTTAGATTAGGAAAGAGCCGCAGTTCTTTCACGTTCGATAATATCCTGTAATTAATGAACGTAAGCATGACGTTATCGCGTAACGCACGCTACAGTTGTGTTTATCGAGCGGATTGTTATTTGCGCACTTTTCGCGAATCCTGTTAAATGTTAATGAAAAATGCAATATGGCTGAAGGTACAAGTTACTTACAGCTTACGAAGTTTCCTAAGATCCCGGAAAGTTTTATCGTGAATCTCCTTAACAGGATTTCCACGTAAATCGAGCGACACCAAATTATGAGCGTTGCGCAATGCATTTTTCGTGAGTTGTTCTACTCTATTGTTCGATATAGACCTGTAGAGACGTTTCATGAAGACATTATACGTATTAAAATATTGTTGAAGCGCGAGAAAAGAATCCGTACGGTTGGAAAAATGTCTCAACGAAAATGAATTGATAGTAGAGTGCAAAAATTAGTGAGATTGCGCAGTGAATCTTTTTGTACTGTAACTCTGATAAAAGTTTGTCATTACTTCTACAATGCCTTCGTTAACATTGAATTGCAATTTGCAAGGTACCGCAATATGACTGAATTATTGCATACTATATACTGTAAGAGAGAAAAGTATCTGAGAAAAGAATATATATAAAAATTATTTATTTGATGGGTATATTAATAAATTAATAACTTAAATTTATATTCTTTTGTTTAAGTAAAATAAGCAATTGCTTTTTCATGAAAAGCTGCAGTTTTAAGTCACCGTTTTGAAATACGTATATTTGTATAATTTATTACACAATTATTATTATATATTTATTATTATATATTTGTATATTTATAAATTGACTTATTGTGTCACTAATGCCGAATAAATTTCTTACTCTTCGGATATTTTTTCTTTCTATGCACAGACAAAGCTTACCGTGAAGCTTAACTTAAGCACCTCACCGGCGAGTAAAGTTTTCGTGCGAACAAAATAGTCACTTACAATTCTTTAAGATCAGGTAGATTTACAGCGGCGGCCGGTATACTCGTTAAATAATTTTCATCGAGCTCCCTGTGGGGATAAAACGGACGGAAGATATCACATTACGAATAGGTGACGCGATTTATTTTCAGATACTTACAATATACGAAGAGTAGCTAAGTTTATGAACGCATCGTCGTGAATGCTTTGTAGATGATTACGTCGAAGAAATCTAAAAGTAACGCATTTGTGAACGTGACTAATCTGTACTGTTTAATATTTCCAATCGACATTCACCGAAAGAAAAATTATTGCATATGTATATACTTACAAAATTTCGAGATTGGAAAATTGGTGGAAAGCACGTATTGGAATGTCCGTTATATTATTGTTGGTCAGATCACTGAAACAGTTAGGAATTTTGTAATTTTTGGAATTTTGTAGAAAAAAAGATTGTAGAAAATTTTGTAGAATATTTTGGCAACAATCATTGGCACAATAAAACTCAGGGTAACGCAAGAACAATGTTGAACAACAACGCGTTTATCATTCAATCTTTAATACCAAAGACACGTATATAGAGTAGACCGAGGCGAATCGGATCACAGGGTGAATCTTTAATAATTGGCATGATAAAACAGCTTATTTAAGACAAAATATTAACAATAACTGTTTTAGAGTTTATATTGATCCGATTCATCCTGTGATCCGATTCACCTTGGTCTATCCTACAGGATAGACAGGCAATTCGTTATGCAGATGGTGTACAGATAGCATTCATCAAATTGAACATAAAGCTTCTCTACTATTTCGCGAACAACCACGTAAAATTTTGAGTTATTAATTAGAAGATTGGTGTTTAGTTATTAGAAGATTAGTGCATGATATAATCCGCATTGATCTTCTTTAATTGATAAAGAACTTTTTTGTTCAGTTTTCCACATTCACCAATCTCCTTTAATTAATAACTATAAATTTCACGTTGGCGAAATGGTAGAGGGATTTCGTGCTCAGTTTGACGAGTTCTATCTGCGCACTGCGGATGCATGACGAATTGTACGAATGCATGTTGAATTCGGACACTCTGTATGTGCAATTTACTTCTCGAATGAACGCGCATGTGTCGTAATTGTGGTTGCATTCCAGTAATTAATATCCATGTATCATCGTTTCAGTAATCTCCTGAGGACCTAAGCCAGATCCGTGGAGCTTCGCTCCGGAACGAAGAAAAACACGTTTCACCGATTTGTGGAGGGCAAAACGGGGAAAATGATGTTGGGGCGGCTAAAGGATCATCGAGCGATACCTTCTAAAAATAATTCTTTTACGAGAGATGACTGCAACAGATCGCACTCCACTTGTGGCGGCCTGCGCTCGTGCGAACGAAAATCAGATTCAGGCAGGTTCTAGTAATTTTATCCTGCCGCTCAAAGTGAAACTAATTAGTAATTAATTTAATTAAAATTCACAGGAAGGTCTCGTCTGCGATTTCCTCGGCCACAAAAAGTTCAGTTTATCATTGTCAAGCTCTGAAAATGTGCTATAAAGTATTGGATTAAAAAACTGCCTATTCTTGTCAAAAATGTCGCGAGACACAAGTTTAATTATGAAAATTATACTTCGCTCAATCGCAAAGCGTCTACACTGTCGTGCAGAAACTATCACGGTTTTTACAAAAAAAAAAACATCTACGTCGCACGTTGCATTAAAAATTGCGCTTTTGCGGTATAACCCGCGGGATAAAAAGAAGTAGGACAATGTTGTGGAAAACCAGCGAATCAAGCGCTTTTACGTTCTTGGCGCCGTGCGCGAGCGCGAACCGAGAGAGGAATGGACCGAGGAGCTGCATGGATTGTGGCCCATTTTTATGAGTTCTTCGACCTCCTTCGCTTAGGATGGATCGATGTTTACTTTAATACGCTTAGCAAACAGGACGAAAAGACAGGGCGGCATATTCTCTCTCTGTATAATAATAAAAGACACGAGCGATTTACTATCGTGGCGTGTGAAATGTGTGTTTAGCCACAATCGACTCGCTGCGTAATAAATTAATACAGAAGATAAGATAAACAAAAGCGTACGCGAAATTATCGTAGTAATATCGCGAGGCTTATTCGCGCAGGAGCGAAGCGACTATTTCTCTCGCGACAACTCGGGATAGGCATGAAAAAGAAAATTCGTACTGAAATTGAATTTGCGCCAGCGAATGGAGAATGGCCTTGAGAGAAAAATTTATATCATCGCTGCAATCGGAGTCCCAATATTACAAAACACGAAATCACATATAGAGAAAACGTAATTTCCTTTCAAACTTAGAACTTAGAACGTTTGACGACTGAAAAAGAAAATGCCATCATGTGACGATTGAAAAATAAATAAACATAAAGATTACTATAGTATTTTGTAGCTAAAAAAGGAAAATATTGATATTCTGTTTTGATTTATTGTCTTGCTGTTCATATACGTTATTTATAATTCAAGAAGTGGATCACTATTAAGAAATTTACTATGCTTCTTTTTTAGCAAGATAAATTCTATTGACAATTTATTCGTGTATATCAAAAAAGACATGGTAAAGTTGAAAAGAGTTTATATTTAAAAAAGCTATAATTTCTTTTCCTTTCCGTCTATACGTCGCTATTTTACGCAAGCATGAAACCGCAAGGGTTTCCGGAGATATCCGAGCTTCGGGTTGAGTCAAAAAGTGATCGGATTGCGAAAGTTTCTCGGGTACGTCCGGGTATCCGAAATTTAGAGTACTTGGAACCTGCTTCGGAACGTATCTCATTCGAGCTGACTCGGTTACGCGAATTTCCGATATCTGAGCAGTTTTCCACGCGCTTTCCGCATCACTTAATTACAAAAGACGAGGAAAGTGAGAAGAGAAGGACACGAGAGAGACACATTTGATGATTTATCAGTCGGGCGTGGACTCACGCGGACATTTAATCTCTTCAGGGACGAACTTATAAAAATTAGTAGAAAACATGATTTTGAAATAACACAAATATATATGACATTAGTCAATTGTATAACGAGACTCCCTTTCTTTTGTGGGGCTTTGTAATGAATTTTTGTTCACAGTACTGTTCGTCATATCTTTGTCGACAATGTATGAATTAAGAAGGAAGAATTGAACGTATCTGAATGTACACGTCACATGTGTCAGTTATCCCTGAAGAGCTTAATCAGTAATATTCTCGCGCGCGAGAATCTGAAAACGTTGATCGCGCAACAATTAGTGAATACGACTCGCTGACTCAGGATCATCGAGGGCGATCCTCCGGATCGCGTTGCTCACGCTGGTCGCCTCGGTGAAAATGCGCAGTGTTTTTCCTCTCGTTCATTCTTCTTAAAATAGAAGAACACGGCGCTGTCTTACCGTGCTGTTTCACGATACACTTTCGCGCTTGCTCTTTTTTAACAGGACTTTCTCGACGCGTACGAACAGTGGATTCTAATTACGCTTTCGGGACATGACGTCGTTACAGGCAGGCCTCTGAAAACTTTCAATGCTTCGCACTCAAGGACAGCTCGAATTCACCAGTCTTTGTACTCGCGGATACGGTATTCGTCACGCTGCATCTACAATGTGCATCATCCGCTGGCCGATCTGTAATCCAATATCGGAATTACATTCAACGCACGCATGGAATTTCGCAAGAGAGCGCGCGCGCGCACAAAATGTTACTTTTAAAAATATCTCCCAAAGTGTCGTTCGTGCGATATTTTGCGCGAAGCTTACGTACACGAGCTGACGATACAACATGATACGAACGATGAAGTCGCAACGTGTTCGCCGGGAATAGAGTAGGCAGACAAATCTCGGTCGCTCTATCGTTTCGTGCAACGAATCAAGTTCACGAATGGGGAATTACTTTCACAATAGACGTCACCCCGTCGCAACACCGCGAACGTGAGAGGAATGACGAACACATGCACGCGCACATACATACGCACAACAACGTATGTTTTTCGTCTTCGTGCATTATTAATGAGGGAACATTGCTCTTTTCGAAGACGCGCTATGGCGCCAACATCGCTGTAGAAAAGAATCTATTAATAAATTATCGTCGATATATTGCGATAACGCGAGCGAACTGTGGGCGACGTTTTGAAATTTGACTCTCCAAATGTCCTCACTCGTTCCGCAATCAGCAGTCGCTCCGAATTCAACGAAACTCGTGGTGGTTTCACGTCGCGCTATTCTTTCACGACCGGCGCTCCTCAATGTTCGTGACAGGGATTAATTAAATCTCGGGGGAAAGAGTAAGTCACGCCGCTCTAAACCGGCCACGTCGTGGGATACGCGGGAACGAGAGATTGAACCGAGATTGAGATTGTTCGTGTGTGCCTGTCCGTGTCTTTTTCCAGTTGTGAAAAACGAGCGGAAAACAGTCAGCACGAACCTTTAACTCTTAGGCCTGTATTATTTTAAATACAGGCGAAATATTTAGATTGTAACTTATGTCTATATTAATATTCGTTACTTGAAACTTCTCTCAAACGAGATATTTAGATTTGAGTTCAGAGTTGGATGAGAGTTTTTCCGTCGAATCGCGACATTACAGACATAATGTCATATAATTAAAAAAAAATCCGAATACCTCATGTGAGACAAACTTCAAGTAACGATTATTAATACAGGTCTAAGGCGCGTATTAATAGTCATTACTTAAAACTTGCTTCAAGTAAGACACTCAGATTTTAATTTAGAATTAGATCTGAGTTTCTTAGCTAAATTGCGATTGCAAATATAATTTCACATGTGTGATATAATTCGAATAAAAAACTCTCATCTAACTCTAAATTCAGATTTGAGTATTTCACGTAGGATGAATTTCAAGTAACGACTATTAATACGAACTTTAGAGCTGGATTTGAGTTTTTCAGTTGAATTATATGATATACGTGACATCATATTCGCAATCGAGATTCAGCTAAAAAATTCATATCCGACTTTAAACTCACAGATCTGAGTATTTTACTGAAATCAAATTTCAAATAACGACTATTAACATAGATCTCAGAAACGTATCGCTATTTTTAGATATCTTTAAGATCTTTCAGAAATTTATGTTGTTCAGAATTGCAATGACGAGAGTCTAAGGCGAATCTCAGGGAGAGAAAAGACATTAGATCGGTTGGCGCCTCGCTCGAAGTTTTATTGAAGATAAAAGCGAGAAGTGGCGTGTCTTTTTGTTTGGTTTTTGTTTTTTATAGCGGCGTCCGTTGCGAAATAAAACGAGCGCGAAGCGCGCGACCGCGGGAAACGGATCGAATGGCTGCATAAATCCTGCCCGTTCTTCTTGATCCTAAATCACGGTCTACAGTGTATCGGCTGTCGTTTAGTTTGGTATGTAGGTCGCGTGATGGTGTGCGTACGCGCGCGCGTCGCTCTTTTATTTTATTTATCGCTCACAACTGAGAAAGTACCTTTCCGCCGCGGATCACTTTTACGCAGGACGAATATGCAGAACCGTGCGAGAGAGAAAAATGATAAATCGAAAACGAAGTCTAGCCGACGTGAGAAGGACGCGCGTCAGAGGAAAGTTAGTTATACGCACCCGGCGGGTACGCAAACTTTCGCGTGTTCGGTTATTGCGAAATATTATCGTGCAAGTCGCCGTGGATGTAATTCAGTGCAGAAACGGAGAATGACTTTTCTCTTTTCTCTCATAGACGCGACGGGGGTCCGATAGAGCCGCGGGGCCCGCAAGGTCCGCGCGACTAGAATCGTCGAATGTAGGACGCGCGAATGTTCATTGCCAAGTTTACCTTCTGTATTCGCATTAGCGGTGTCGAATTCGCGCGACTGGTTGACGTCGCGAAATCGCAATGTCTCTGCATTAAGCGCGAGTAGCAACGACGCGGACTGCTAGAAAATGACCGTTCGGCTTAAGCGCGAAAATTGACAGCGTCTCGGGGTTTGTTCCGGGAAAAACTCGAATAGGCGATCCCGTGGAAGATTGCTGGGACCCACGGCCCACTTTCGCGATTTGTTGGATCGATGCGTCGATCAGGTGCGACACGCGAGACGCTTCAACGTGGGAGAATGCCGAGAACGAGAGGCTGCACTTACATCTTCGTGACGTTGTCAGGAATAACGGCCCGTAGTACGTCGACGTCGTAAATCGGCCGCACGGAGGACAGGCTCGCGCCGCGGCACAGCAGCTCTCGCCCGTCGGCAGCGACGTTACACGCGTCCGGAGTGGTGCTCCGACAGCAGCGGATCCGCCAGAGTAGGATGATGATCGCCAGAATGATCGCTCTGCCGTGGACACGAGACCGCGTGCACATACCGGCCAATCATGTATGTATATAATTCACTTTCGCAGCTCTCCTTTTTTTCCCCCCCGGGTTCGCCGCGCCCAGGACGAAGTCACCTCACTATCATTCTTCACGCCGCGGCGGCGCCCGTGCGTGCACGGGCGGACACTACGCGTGCACGCGCGCGACCACCAGAGCGAGCATCCCCATAAGGAGCCGCGGCCGCCGCCGCCGCCGCCGCTGCCGCCGCAGCTGCCGTCGCCATTCAAGGGGTGAACGGAGATGAGCGGACGAGATGCGGACGCGATGTACCGAGGAGAGCTGGGGACGAGACGCGATCTCTCCTCCTGCCCCTAAGGAGATGTCCTCCTCCGTGTACGACGCGGCACATTCACCGACTGATCCGCGATGCTACGACGCTACGGTGCCTATGCTTACTTTCGTATATCGTATCCCTACCCCTGTGGACTCGCTCGCTCGCTCGCTCGCTCGCGCGCACCCACCCTGGACCACTCGACCACTTTCTCGTTACGCGACTCCGAATCCTGTCCGCCACGCGACGCCGCTTCCTCGATCGAAATTCGCTACCTGCTCGACAACGAGGACTATTCGGACTCTCGGCGGGCGAAAATACGCTCGTGTCGAAGACGTAATTGCGTGTGCTCGTGTACTTCTTTGAACCGCGACTCTCGCGGTCGATAATCCTTTTCGCGTTGCGTCGCGCTGCGTCCGTACGCGAACGCGCTACGTTGTGTTGTGACCTCCTGAACATCTCCACTCCTCGATCTCGGACGTTCTCTTTCTTCCTTCCTTCCTTCCTTCCGTCCGTTCGTCCTTCCCTTGGAATATTCCGATATTTCGATACAACTACCGCCGAGGAGCTTGAAAATACGCAAAAAATCATTCTACGTGTTTCCGTGTTAATTAAATATCCGCGCAAAATGTTTCGTACTGTTTCTCCGACGCGTGTATTCAAAGTGGACGCCGAGTATCGTCGATTGTTCACACGCGATTCAACGTTTCGAACGTGCGAATCGATGGGTCGACGAGATGTGTCTGTTTCATCATTTGTCATCGAGATTAGATTCTATCGATCTTTCTTAATATCGCAACTATATTCAATATCACATAGGTGATATTCTAGTCTAACCGCCGTGGCATATAGACGTGTCCGAACGTAATCGGACGTGATCTAAGATTTTTTTTTAAAACAATCCTCGAAATTATTTTTGAGGAATATTAACCCATATTTAACAATTAGAATGATATTGGGGAAAAATCGTAGGATTACCTATATTGAGAGAGAGAGAGAGATTCAATATCACGCGTACAGATTTTAATTTAATTGAACATAAATTAATTATAAACTTTGTGATATTATTTTGCAAATATTTTTTTTAAATCGCATTGCAAAGCCACATATATCGCAACGGTAATAGATATGCATCGCGTATTTTATTATTATTTATGCCGTGAGATAAACGAATTAAACAATAAATGAATCGAACCTTTCTTAATATTGATATTTAGGAGTTATGAAAATAACCTGCTGAAGAGAGGATTTTACGAGAGGACGTTACGATTTCATTATTTAGAGGAAAAAAATAAGAAAAAATACCTAAAAGGAGTCTAATTTGCGGGCTTTCGAATTTCCTGTCTTTGCTCGTACTCATCAGTGAATTAATAGTAGTGTTATCTCTCACCGAATTAGGTCGTATACGTACAGCAAGTCAGTTAATTATGTGTCTAATTGAGTAAAAACAAAGATTCAATAAGGACGTTGATCTCGCCATTGTAAAATGAGCACGTCCAATGATATACCAGTAACTAGACGTGCAACGTTCGATCCAGAAATATCTAGTTACAGGAAGTGACTTCCATTACCTGCAACATTCTGAGCTGCGTTCTACTCAGTGGGTAGAGTATATTTAATTGACCAATCATGACAAAAAAATCTTAGTTATCTTTGTTCTTATTGATCAATTAAATACTCTACTCGTCGAGTAGAGTTTTGGAATGCAGCCCTGGACATCCGTTAGAAAAATTGACTTTCTAGAGATCTGCATCTAGAGAGACATTTTTGTTTCTAGAAAGCAGAATTTGCTACTAGATAGCGGATGTTGAGCCTTTCTAAAGGCCGTGGCACACAGAAAAACTTAAGCAGTAAGCAAATTGACCAATCACAGTCGTTGATTCTTCTTACGGTCCAAGAATCAACGACTGTGATTGGCTGATTCGCTTACTGCTTAAGTTTTTCTATGTCCACCAGCTTAAACGCACCAAAATTACAACCTGAACCTTACCTGGATTAAGACATTTTCAATTACACGAATATACTAATAAGACTGGATAATGGAATAGGAATTCCGAATCATATATAATAAGAAGAAGAAGGATAGCGGATGTCTTGTCAATCTTCCGTATTTCTATGCTTTTATTCGTTGCAGTTCGAGTCGACGACGCCAAGTTTAGTGAGTGACTTCACTCGGTTCGCTTTGTACATCTGGTTATCATTGCAATAACGCTGATGAAGATTTTTCACTGAAACAATAACATATAAAGTAAGCATTGCGTCAAAATGAAGACCGCTTTGATGGTAGCAGAAAAACCCTCTTTAGCAGCATCCCTTGCTAATATATTAAGCAATGGACGGTGTGTAACTAGAAAAGGTATGTTAACGAATTTGTCAAATTTTCTCTTATACACTTTTTTTATACTTCATATTATATTTCAGGATTGAATGGAACTTGTCCTGTCCACGAATGGGTAGACCAATTTAGGTATGAGACGGTAAATTTTAAGATGACATCCGTATGTGGGCATGTCATGACGTTGGATTTTATTGGAAAGTACAACAATTGGGACAAAGTGGATCCAGTAAGATTAAATAAATATGATATTTTCATTTCTTTTTTTCATATACTTAAAAATAACTGAACTGCTCATTTCATTTTCTAGGCAGAATTATTTTCGTGTTCAACTGAGAAAAAGGAAGCTTTGCCCAAATTAAAAATACCATATATTTTGGCCAAGGAGGGATCACATTGCGATTATTTGATATTATGGTTAGATTGTGACAAAGAAGGTGAAAATATTTGTTTTGAAGTTATAAACGCGGTACAGCAAGGAATGCATAGGAAGTTACATCCAAATGTAAGTCATCTATATTATTTATATCTATTACAATTGTCAAATGATATGTAATATGTGTGAATTCTGACTCAGTCATATATGTTCTCTTATGTATTTGAGTAAGTAATAATTTAAATAAATTTTTTCTTTTTAATAGGATATTTGGCGAGCAAGATTCTCTGCGATTACAGAAAAAGATATAAAATCTGCTTTAGAAAATTTGATAAAACCCAATGAAAATGAAGCAAAGAGTGTTGATGCACGTCAAGAGCTAGATTTGCGAATAGGTTGCGCATTTACACGTTATCAAACTAAATTTTTTCAAGTAGGTCACAAGTATTTTCACAGTTATATTAGACAAAATGTAATATAAATATCTTAATATACATTCATATAATATAAATTGTGCTTTTAAAATTGTGCTTAATTGTTCTTTTAGGGCAAATATGGTGATTTAGATGTGTCTTTAATTTCTTATGGGCCATGTCAAACTCCAACATTAGGATTCTGTGTACAAAGGCATGATGAGATCCAGACCTTTAAACCAGATCCGTATTGGGTGTTACAGGTATTAAATTATTTTTGTCTTGAGTTATCTATAATATCAAAATGTGATATAATAAAAATACAAAAAATAATACGTAAATATTAATATATTTCTTCAATTACACTTAGGTAACTATTAAGTGTCCTGATGGACAGGACATTGTGTTAAGTTGGAGTCGTGTACGTTCTTTTGACAAAGAAGTCGCAAATATGTTCTTAAGCCATGTTAAAGAATACGATCGCGCAACGTGAGTACTATTTTATGTATTTCTGAAACCTTAGTAGATCATGTTAAATTGGATATATGACAATTATTGAAAATCAAATAATGTATAGCGTAGTGAGTATACAAAGTACAGAAAAATCAAAGTCGCGACCTATAGCTTTAAATACGGTGGAGCTGATGCGAGTCGCAAGTTCTGGGCTGGGAATGGGCCCGCAGCACGCTATGCAAATTGCGGAGAGACTTTATACTCAAGGATACATAAGTTATCCTCGAACCGAGACGACAGCGTATCCTGAAAATTTCGATCTGCTGTAAGATAATCGCAAATCAGTCATGCGTAGCCGATACACAGACGCGTTGTTTTATCTTAATCGTTTTACTTCATTAAAGTTCTACGCTGAAACAACAACAGAATAATCCCGATTGGGGTGAGGAGGTTCGAAAAGTACTAGCGAGCGGTATTAATAGGCCAAAGAAAGGTCACGACGCCGGTGACCATCCTCCTATAACACCTATGAAACACGCAACCAGAAACGAACTCGATGGCGACTCGTGGAGATTATACGATTATATCACGCGCCATTTCATCGCCACGGTATGTCCAGTATTTAAGACATTTGCCAAAATGAAAGCTCGTAGCCTTCACTTGTACTACGCATTCTCTGTGTATTTCTCTCTATTCTTTTCGAATGTGTCTCGAATGTTATAGTTAGCGCGGGATTGTAAATACTTGAGTACTACGGTAAAATTCGAGATAGGAATGGAAATATTTACAACGACCGGCCATAGCTTGCTAGATGCCGGGTACACGAGCATTCTTACTTGGCAAGCGCTCGGCAGTAGCGACACTCTGCCGAAATTTACACCCGAGGAGAAAGTGAACATACAAGAGGTAAACAATATCATTCTCTTTGCCGTGCGTCAACGCTCATACCGACTTCTTATTCTGCTTTATTGCTCATACAGGCGAAATTATTGGAATGTTATACGCAACCGCCGGATTACTTAACAGAGGCAGAATTGATAACTCTCATGGAGAAACACGGCATCGGAACAGACGCCTCGATTCCTGTACATATAAATAATATTTGCATCAGAAACTACGTTAATGTTACAGTAGGTAGGAGATTAATACCTACCTCTCTCGGCATCGTTCTGGTTCATGGATACCAGAAGGTAACTTTGCTTCAATTCCACAGTGAGATACTGAGAAATATACTCTTTGTAAAATATGCATTCTTGATATTTTCTCATACATATGTGCATATTTTATAAAATATATTTTTCTCTTTTTTCAGATAGATCCTGAATTGGTTTTGCCTACTATGAGGTCTGCAGTGGAGGAGCAACTAAACCTAATAGCGTTGGGTCGTGCCGATTTTCACGCTGTCTTACAGCACACTGTAGAGATTTTTAAACAAAAGTTTCACTATTTCGTACAAAGTATCGAAGCTATGGATCAACTGTTCGAAGTCTCGTTCTCTCCGCTGTCGGCGTCTGGTAAAGCACATTCTAGGTACGAAACAGACAATTGTAGATAGTCCCGTTTGGTTTGACTTCTAGGTTGCAGCTGCATTTCTTATCGAATTGCTTCCTGTACATATCCTCAACAATTCGACAAGAACCTGGAAGCCAAAACAGACATTTCATATCGTGAAAGCTTCAATACAAATAGTTTTCATACAAATAGTTTCTTTGGAATTTTATATAAATACTTTGTCGATCGCGCGTTCATTATATTTATATGCATCTATTACAGATGTGGTAAATGTCGCCGATACATGAAATATATACAAACCAAGCCATCCAGAATGCACTGCGCGCATTGTAATGAAACTTATAATCTACCACAAAATGGAAACATACGAATATACAAAGAATTGAAGTGTCCATTGGACGACTTCGAATTGCTTTCATGGTCGACCGGAACGCGAGGGAAAAGTTATACATTTTGCCCGTATTGTTATAACAATCCACCGTTCAGGTATGCCACGACTACAGCAACAATTGAACCACAATAACCTCCGAAAAAGAGTCGAACACTCTTTCTGAATTTTAGAGATATGAAGAAAGGAATGAGCGGTTGTAATTCGTGCACGCATCCCACATGCCCACACGCTTTGAATTCGAATGGCTTATCGAGTTGTCTGGAATGCGATCTGGGTATTCTTGTGCTCGATCCTTCGGCCGCGCCTAAATGGAAATTGGGATGCAATCGTTGCGACGTTATTATCCATTTGTTCGAGAACGCGCATAAAGTAACGGTCGACACGGATGTATGTGACTGTGGCGCGCAATTAGTAACCGTCGAGTACAAGCAGGTAATAAGAGAATTGCCGCGAATTCTTCGTTTTTGTTACGAGTATCTTATATACGTTTGTCTATCCCGTCTGTGATTTCAGGATAAAAGTAAACTCCCTAACGAGGTGACTGAAATGTCCGGCTGCGTATTCTGTACTCCAGCTTTCGCCCCGTTAGTAGAGAAGCATCGTGCAGTAGCTTCGAAACCGGTCGTTACGCGTGGCCGCGGCCACACCAAGAGCCGCAATCGAGGCAAACCGAAGCCGCCCAAGGACAAAATGGCACAATTAGCGGCGTACTTCGTGTAATGAATCATTAAAGGCAACCCGCGTAGATACTTAAATTAACTACATTTTATAGAACATCGCGTCTTACATACTAAACAATCGTAAAAAAAAACTTAATCATAAAATCGCCTTCTTATAAAATTCCTAATTTCCTTCAATGTACCTTTCAAACGTAAGTAATCCGAAACGCGATGCAGAGTTCACATACTCTTATTCCGTGTTTTCAGCTTGTATATTAATTTTTTATATTTACAAAAAATATTTATTTACAATATTTATTTACAATAAACTACACCATATATCATTAATGATACATCAATGGTTAAGATCAATGGATCAAATTAATAAAAGATCAAATCAATCTTGGATTAATCCAAGATCAATCTTGGATTAATTTTAGATTAATATACATAGTTTATTCTGCCGTTGTCGAGGTAGCTTGGTCGCTCGATATCTGAATATCTTTTATAATATCTTTACCCAGAACGTAAAAGTCTTGAATCATCGCCGATACATTTAAAACGAGGTTATCGTCATCGTCAAGTTTTCTACAACCGGCTTCCGATACTTTGAATTGTTTACGTTCTAGAGCAGAGGGTTTCAACAAGACTCCTATTACTGCACCGCCATAAGTGTCGTGGAAAAATAAAGCATATTCGCCATAACCGTCCTGAAAATAAAATAGGAACAAATGTAAAATACAATAAACTTGGAAATATTTGGATACAGAAAATTTTGTCTAAATCATAATACAATTAGTTTATCTCTTTAAAGCGTGTATATTTGAATCGACGAGCATTGATATATAGCATTAATATAAGTTAACGGGATAAATAATTATTATTTATGAAGATGATTAATGATTCTTTAGGATACTAACCCTTAAATCCCTCAGAAAACATTGTACGGGATCAAAGTCTACGATTGGAATTTTTTGAAACGAATGTAGCTTGTAAGGATGTAGATCCACGATTGCTATATTGTTAGGTACATCAATTGCCTGGAGTCTTCGCGGATTCATAGCAGATTTTAGATATATCACACAGTCGTATTCCGACAATGGAGGACGGAACATTCGTTTTAAATCTTGTACGGTATTCTTGACCAACAGATCGTCGAATATTTTCAACGATTCCTTCGCTAGTACGCTTATACGGTACAAGATCAATTTCGAAGGCGCTGTTCTGGTCCATAGGGATTTCTGTTGATCGTAAGGAGTTGATATAAATAGTGGCGGTAATGAATTGCGAGCGGTACCAAATAGAGTCTCGACAGCGGAGATTTCTTCGTCTGAAATTTAATGCATTACATTAAAAGCAATGTCTTGAATGAGAACTATTGTATAATTATTAGTACACTATGAAAAATTCATGATTGTAATAAAAAACAGATTATTTGCCAATATCCCAAGAGTACTTACTAGTCATTTCGTCGTTAAAATTAACAATGATTGGATCAGTGTCCCAGGGTGCTCTTGCGACAAATTCCAGAAATCGTAAAAATATTACTTGCGGCACTTGAGATATTTTATATGGTTCTGGAATTAAATACATTGATGCCATAAGTAATTCAACCACGATATTTGGTATATGAGTATCGTCCAGTAGTTGCGCCGATAACCATCGTTTTGCTAAACAGCAGGCAGGACCAAACGATGGCTGTTGAGAATGCAACCTATTTAATGAGAAAGTATCATATTAAAAAATTACAATATACCATGACTTCATTCTCCTACATTCCATTCTTTATACTTAAATGAAAAATACATTCTTAACAACTTATATAAAATATTATATATCATTTGCTAATAATAATTACATTCGTTAATTCTTACCCATGCAAGGCACTACTCAGTCTTGGTAAATGGAACAACTTGTTCTCCAATTCAATGGATTCTTCATTGTCCCTATATTTTATAACTTCGTCTTCCTTGATTTTCTTGACTAAAGCAATTTCCTTTTGAATTGCCACTTTTAATCGGAAAATGAATCCATCCTAACGAAAATAGAAATATGTTCATAAGAAAAAAAAATATTATACTATTTATATTTCTTTATTACAGGTATATTTATAACATTTTATTAATATATCATACTTACTTGCATCACATCCATATAAGAGGGATTGGCTTGTACTTTTAATTTATGTTGTTGCCTGAGACATTCAGCGATTTGTATATGAAAGGCTGTCTTCATTTTTCTAATGGCTTCCAACTCATCAGGCCATTTTCCACTAGTCGACAATTGTAATATCGCTTCGATCGCGTGAACATACTCCGGACACTTTTTTATGTTTTTCTCAAATACGAAGCAATTTTTGCTTTCCTTGGTGACACTATTTATACTCCGATGAATGGTAGCAAGCGGTGGGAAAACCTCTGTGTATCGGAAAACTGGACTCAATCCTTGCACGCCGTTTATTGTCAGTGGCATATCACTTAGAGACATTAAATTTTGTTCCAAGTTGTTAAAAGCTTTCAAAACTTTTAACGTAGCTTCCTCGCCAGTGCCGTATGTAAAGTGCGTTATTTTGTACTACAAAGATCGGAAATATAAATCATGAATTATGGAAAATATAAAGTTAACAATAATTGAAGACTACGAGGAAACGTAATCGAATGAGTTAGTATATTTAACTGATATCTTTATTTTGATGTAACGATGAGATTACCTTATGTAACTTTAGAAAATCTTCTAGTTGATCCGCGAGGAACAAATACTGACGTTTGAAAATATTTAACTTTGTCTTTAACAAAAATATTATTATCTTTTTGCATATTACTCTCTTGTCGGAGAGAGTTTTACCCTTCGACCAAACTACGGCCTCACGAATTGTTCCGTCTTGAAATCTTCGCAATTCTGATTTAATTCCCCAGAATTTTTTGAAATCAACTGCCTGTAAAGTACAAATTATAAATATTAATATATTATTTTACTATCTCCCTCGTTTTAATTAAAATTATTTCAATTATTTGCTTACTTCAGGTAAATTGGCTTCAGGTCCTTTATCTACAATGTTAAAGGCAGTTTCAGGGTTCAATTCGAATCCAATTATGAGTTTTCCAGCACAGTTTGGTGTTTCTTCAGTGCATTCCCATTCTTTAGATTTATGCGGCAATATGCACAATTGATTAATTCTATGTCCTAGACCTTTTTGAAAAACGTCAACGAGCAACTTGATTATTTGACTGCGTTTGTCTGGTCCATAATTGATCTTATCATTAATGCTGGATTTATTATTGACTATTTTTTCTAAAATTGTACTATCCTGAAAACTATACGCACAAAAAACGGGTAAAATTATTAAAGTACATTTAACACTTATAAAAGTTTATGTAAAGTCTGTTTGTATAAATTACCATAAAATTTGATCAAACGCTTTGTAGAATGGTACACTTCGCATAAAAAGAACTTGGAAGCTGTTCACGTGTACATTATCCAAATGTTTCAGGGAAAGTTCTGCCTCCCTTTGCACCCACGAGAAAGTGCATTTAGATAAATTTGCTGCAAAATTGTGATATCCAGTGATATCAAGAAACACACAATCGTAGTAGTTGTGATAATGGGAAAGTTGTTTCTGGTTTTCTTTGTCCTTGCATATAGTGATTCCGTGTTCCCACCAATTTCCCTGGGCTATATGAAATAAATTCAATTATTATTTCAAAGAGAGTCATGTGAATAACGCAACTTATTTAACAGCTTCATGATATACCTAAAGAGATCCAAACATTCCGTATTATTTGATAACTACTCATAAATGTGTTAAGTTTTTTCACATTTAACAAATAAATCACAAACATGGTCATGATATGATCAGTAAAGCCATCGTAGTCTTTGTTCAATTCACGTTGGGTCAACCATATTTTTAACAAAATTATACCATCTCTCAAATTCGGATATTCCTTTATTATTTGCGCAACTTCGGAATTTGTACTCCTCATTACCAGGTCGCGTAGTATTAAAGAATTATAGTGTGGAGTTGGTAGTGGGGTTGCTATAACAGAATTTGATGTGGCATATGAGAAATTTTACTCTATATATATATATATATATATATATATATATATATATATATATATATATATATATATATAAATTATAATTGCATGATATTTTTTGTATTAATATTTTTGACAAAAATAATTGTAAAAGACAACTTACCGTCATCCAAAGACTCATTAAAATACCATTTTAATCTAACATTACTTTTCTCTGGCAAAAACTTATTCAACTTAAAACTTGTTTCCTGCGCAGATATGTGTATTATTATATCAATCTTTTTATTCAACTGTCCATTAGGCCGAAGCTTCAAGCAAGGTCTTAAATTGTCGCCGATAAACTTCTTACTTTCCGCGATATCAGTTCCTATATTCGATGTTACAAACGCCAGATATATTGCTTTCTTTTTAAAATATATGTAGTTTTGGTAATCCTGTTTTCGAAATAAAGCAGCTGGCATTTCAACCATTATGTCTACAGTGACAGTAGGACCGAGTATACATCCTGAGATATAAGATCCAACAACACTAATGTTAGATGGCTTCAAAAATTTGAAAACGCCCTTAGTTTCTTCCGGTACTCTTGGTACAGGGATACAAACGCCTAATTCATCTTCCAAATTGTTACTCATAATCTGAAATTAATTAGTTAAATAAATTATTTGATTCTACTGTATTATATTGTAAATATGTATATGAGTTATATTACTAACCGATATTTCTTCAGTTTCATCAATCGATTCAATTGCTCCTTTTAATTTTTCAAACCAAGTATTAAATAATACTTTATATTTATCTTTAAGTTTTACTTCACTAAGAATTTCTTCAATTTGAAGTCGGAATAGATTTGAATGAAATAAATTCTCTGTCTCTCTAAGCTGATTGAGTTCCTCAACTGTTGGTTGCTTATAAAGACTATTTTCAAATTTTTTCTTCTTTTTAGGAGCCACTTCAGTTATCTCATCCGTAACTTTCTTTCTCTTTTGGTTTTGTTTTAATGCAAGTAACTCAATTTCATGATTGTCAGATTCAGAATTTAGGTCTTCATTAGCAGACTCAGAATTTAGGTCTTCATTAGCACACTCAGAATTGTTTGAGTCATCTTCATTATTAATATCACAATCAAAACTGTGTTTATCATGTTTTCTCTTGTTCAACTAAAATCATTTAAATGTTATTAAATTCATCATTTCTCAGTAGATAAGAACAAGTATAAATTAATACATAATTAACTATAGTCTCAAGAAGATGCATTCTCCTATTCTCATAAAATTTTAATTGTGCACAAAACCTTTTTAAATATGTTTATTTTGAAATATTTTGGACAATTTCATCAAATTTTATTAGAATCAGGAACTTTTCAAAAGTATATTTCCTGAATAGTTTTAAATACTTCATTTGATTCTTATATTTTACGCGAATGGCACGCGTTCTTAAAATTGCAATTTTGATGAAACTTTTACATAGATTTCTAAAATTTCTAAAAAGAATTACTGTGATTAAGTATAATTCGACCACTCATTATGTTGTTAAATTTCAATCAAAATATACATGACGATCTATCGGGTCGTTCCTTCCTAATGAAGAGAAGTGAAATACTCGCGAAACGTCGAAATCAGATAAAGAATTCGCGTGGCTCAAATCCGGAAACCAAATCTATCTAACCAAGTTTCGACAAAAATTTCTTTAACATTTCTAGAAATTTAAGTGGAGATCATCAGGAGTTTGAAAATGGTATCTTTTTTGTTATTTGAAACTTAGGTTATAAATATTAATTTGTAGGTACTCAATAAGATTTCTGAATAATATTTAAGTTCTACATACCTTTAAATTAGAATTTTTCATTTTAACTTTACTGACTTTTATTATTTTATTTTATTTAATACAAAAGTAAACTTATATTTTCAATATATGCTGCTAAAGTACTGAAATCAACACGTGTACTCTCTTTCACGTGGTTCAGGCCTATCTCAACGGCTCTTTCCAATCAACACGTGTATCTCTCTCTCTCTCTTTCTCTCCCTGGTTGCGGGCCTGGGTACTATTCCGTTCCCGCATACCGACAGTTGTCGAATCGGTAGGCGTCGTTGCGCAGCTTTTTATACCGTGGAAAAACTGCGCAACGACACCTATCTGATCCGACAACTATCGGAACCACGGTAACGGAATAGCACTCCTGACTCGGTGGCCTTTTCACCATGTATTAAGTTGGAGTTTATGCTTAATAAGGATATATAAAGAATTCTATAGATTTAGTTTGGAGTTATTAAGGAATTCGAGAACCAATACATGTATCCTTCCGAATTGGTATACAGTCCTTCTCTCTAGAACCTTTCATCACTCAATACGTGTATAAATACCGGTATGGCTAATGTTATAGAGAATTCACACTGCGTCCGATGTACGACGTCCGATATCCAATAAAAGAATATCTTTATAATGGAGAATTGAATTCTCTATTAGAAAGCTGTTCTCCTATTGGATATCGAACGTCGTAGTCGCAATTGGCGCAGTGTGAATCTTCTCTATCCTTGACTGCGTTCAGATTCCACACCCGGGTGTATTCTATTACTAGAAGTGCTATAATATATGTAACATATACCATAGTGTTTCTAGTAATAGAGTGTACCTGGATGAAGAATCTGAACGCACCCCTTCGTGTGCCGCTCCTAACCTCTGTGAAAGTCTTTTAAATGCGTTCGATACTACCTTTAAATACAGAGTTGGAACTTTAATAAGGTTAAGTTATAACTTAATGTGGTAATATCACAATTTTTTATTTTATTCTGGTGGTGTCAGGACGACTATACATTTGCGATCGTTCGTCATGGTTTTGTGTAATATCGAGTGTGTAGAGAAAGTAGCGCAATATCTAGATGTTCCTTCGGGAAAATTAGAATTTTCTGACAAGAACGTGAGTGTTAATTTATTATATTAATCACTGCAAGATATATATTGCAGCATTAAAGATAAAAAAAATTAAATATAATAAATTTGTACCAAATATTCGATTTGTGTTCACAACGATCGTTTCAGATATTGCTTGCTTCAGGAAATGAAAAAAATTCACCACCTGTTCAAGGTTTCAACACAATTATACAAGCACTTGCGAAAAATTCAAAATATATCGATATAATCGGCAGGGAGAAAGAAACACAAGCTCGATCGCAACAGTGGCTAGAATATATTACAGTCTGTGTTAATCATGCAGATTTTCCCTTTAATGCCAAGAAAATATTGAATGTAATATTACAATATGTGACTATATATAAAGTATGTTGTATACACAGCAAAATGTCAATACATTCTTTGATTCTAGGAATTAAATACAGCTTTAATAGATGTCACGTATTTAGCTGGCACACAGAAAACCATCGCAGATATCACGCTGTACTATGCTCTTCATTCCATAATGGTAATAGCTATTTTAGACTTATAAGTTTCATAATTTAATTTTTGCACTAACAGGAGAACAAAGCAACTCTATGTTAATCAGAGAATCTATCATCTATTATTACAGTCAAGAATAAGTTCTGATCTATAATAGGTGTCTAATTCAATAATTTCGTTTTTTGCAAAAGGTATTCCCAATTTTGCCGAAAATCGTAATAATAAACTTAAAAATTACAAATTAGGAATTGCAATGTTTGGTAGTGCAAAAAACTCTTTTTGCTAAAATAATTATAGTTTTAGCCTTAGAATAAAAGGTTAAAAACTTACTATACCTACTGTAGGCTGGGGCTTATAAGATAATAATACTCATTGAACAATGTACACTAATAATTTTTTAATTTATTTTTCTTTTACAGAAAGAATTAAACCATCAAGAAAAGGCGCAATATGTTCATGTATCGAGGTGGTTCGACAATGTTCAACAAGAAGAAAAATTGAGACAAGAATTGGATTTAATTTCCTTTGATTTAATGCATATATTCCTATAATTAACTCAGAACGCTTCGCGTTTGAAACTTGCGATATTTCCTTTTTATGCAAAGTATGATGATTAAATTAATTTTAATGGTGTACATTTCTCTATTTCTCGTGATTGGACTTTACAAACTACACATCCGACATCTGATAAAAAAATATTTCTAGAAACAAAGATGTCGCTAGCTAGAGACCCTAGGGCGGCTAGCTAGAGATCCTTCGGAAACGTCACCCAAGTACCCATTACGTTGGAGTGAGCGAGATATAAGAGTGAGATAAAAAGAGAGGAAGAGTACTCGAGTGACGTTTCCGAACGCAGCCCAGAAGGCAAGTTCATCTATTGGGTGTTAAAAGAATGCGTGTGGATCTCCCATTATAGGAAGACGCAAAAGACCTACAATGATATCAAACAGATGTATAGGTTTACCATAATATCGTTTTTGAGGAAAATTTTACTGAAAATTCATAGTATATGTAACGTTGAAGTGCAAAATATTCGACATAATCCGCTTTATGCCCATATCAGACTATGGATTGAAAATTGCAGTTGGGCCAATCAGATATTTTAAATCTTGGCTTTGCTTTGTTTGATTGGTCCGATTGCAATCCTCATAGTCTGATTACGACATTACGTGCCCGTAATCGTGCTATATCGCGTTTCTTGTTTACTCTTGTTTCATTCAATGTATTGGCACGCGACACGGCTTATCTCAATGAGATCTATCACACGTACGAGTACCATTTCATAGAAATCATGCCGACATCGATAGAAAGGCACGCTCGAGACGTGTCTCTCAAGGTTCTCCCCCGTGCTGATATCCCGTGATTATTCAGTGACTGCTGCCGACGTTGCGGAACGCACAGGTGGATCGCTCGCGATCACTTTCCGTTACGAAAGATGCGCGGTTTCTCCCGCATCGCCTATGAGGAATGTCAGATTTTCACGGTCGTTGCATTCAAGTAACGCGTGCGCAGGCAAACGAGACATTGTGGACTTTGTCTTCGATTCAATCGTTGCGGTCGCGTCGACCGTTTGCCTTCAAGTCAATCGTTTTGGCCTAAATCTCAGCCTAATACACGAAAAAGAGGCCTGTTTCGCCTAACATCTCGCAGATCGACGCACTGCCGAACGTAACGAGATGGCGGATGATTCGAGCGTACGCGTCGCCGTACGGTAAGTACGAAAATGCCAGACCTCATTCAATTTTTGCTCCCATCTCTCGGTCCATGTCATCGTCTCAAATGACAGCTATGACTAGCCGCTGGCGAACGAGCAGTACGCTGCGGACCTTTTTGTCCATTTTTTTTTACCGTATTGCGGATATAATTCCGGGAGAGACATAAATTGCTTTCTCTGGTAAACGACTATTTTTTTACTCGATTTCTCGCCATTCCCTGATCATTTCTTCCTATGAAACACTGCATAATGAAACGCCTACAATGCGAACAAAATTGCAGATTTCGTGGGAAGAGCGAAATTAATTAGAGGAGATAGAGAAATAATGAGAGAAAATGATTTTCTTTCGCATGTTGTTTTCATACTTGATAGCAGACGAGCTTTTTGTTTATCACAATCGTTGAGACATATAAAAACGAAAAAAATTGCGGGAGAAAGTACAACTCGGAAGTGCGAAATTTTTCGTGTCGCATCGCGACGTAAGAAACTCGATTCGCACGAAATGCTACCAGTTCTACGTAACGTACTGCCGATCGCAAATACCGATCCTCGCATATCTCCTTTTATGACAAGTGCGTGGGCTTAATTACCATCCGCCTAAGAAACTTGCATCGTCAACTTCCGATTCTCAGATATACAATTGATCAATTATACTATCCGGAGAAATAGCACTTAAATAACAATAAATATAAAAATTATTTATTATAATTTTTTTTATAAGATATTTATAAGATTTATAAAATTTTTATAAGATTTTATAAGATAAGATTTATAAGATTTTTATAAGATTAATTTGTAAAATATTTTATATTTTATATGCTAGAATATCAAGCATTTAATTTTACAATGTTTATTTTATCTTATTTTATCTTAACGTTTTCACAAGCAAAATGACTAATTAAAAAAAAAATAAAAGTTTTATCCTAAAATAATATTTTTGAAAAATCAATTTTATTTGAGAATATTTGACGCTGGAATATTCTTCATTTACAAGTTAATTGTTTCTATCATATATGTACTGTCATTCATCTGGACTTTCACTTGTCATATTTTACCTCAACAATTTATCTATAACAATTTGTTTCCTTTTTTGCAGAATAAGGCCTCAAGTAGCTCGCGAGGTGATAGATATGTGCAGAATTTGTACCCAAGTACCTCAAGGGGAACCACAGGTTTTCCTCGGGCCTGATAAGGCTTTTACATACGATTATGTTTTTGACACTCAGTCAGATCAGAATACAATTTATGAGACATGTGTGAACCGTCTAGTGGAGGGTGCTTTGGATGGATACAACGCAACAGTTCTTGCCTACGGACAGACTGGCTCAGGCAAAACTTACACTATGGGCACTGGTTTCGATGTAGAAGTTGATGAAACTATAGTTGGAATCATACCCAGAGCTATCAACCATCTTTTCAATGGAATAGCAGATAAACAGGAACGTGCAAGGGAACGTGCACAGATGCCTCCAGAATTTAAGGTTTGTGCTTCATGTAGTAGACATTAATATACAGAGTTCTCTAGGAAACACAGATATACTTTTAGTGGCAGATCCTTTAGTTAAGTTAGGAGGTCACAATCAAATGTAACTTTAAGGCTTTTAGCATTATGTACCACTATGAAAAAAGATTAGAATTACACTTTATCTCAGATTAAAGTTATTTTAACGTAAAGTACATCTCTGGACCCCATCTGATCAAATAATAACGTTTTGAATTAGCTCCAAAATATCTGTCAATTTGTGTAACAAAGTTTGTCACAATCGATATGATGATAATGTATCCCTGCTTGTCGTAGGTCACAGCGCAATTTTTAGAATTATATAACGAAGATTTAAAAGATCTGTTGGAACCAGGAGGGCCAAGAGGAGGCGCCCGTATTCACGAAGATACAACGGGCAATATACACTTAGCCGGAGTGGAACCGCGTGTCGTAACTAGCCCTGAACAAGCATTGGAGTATCTTCGATTGGGTGCGTTATCACGCACAACAGGATCTACGCAAATGAATACGCAATCCTCAAGATCGCACGCTATATTTACGTTATACATCAAACAACAAAGATGCATCAAAGTCGAGGATCCGGACGCGGATGTCGACACGAGCGGTACCGAATTGCCGAACGAATTCGAAGTGTTAACTGCGAAGTTTCATTTCGTCGACTTGGCCGGTTCGGAAAGATTAAAGAGAACGGGCGCTACCGGAGACAGAGCGAAAGAGGGCATTTCTATAAACTGTGGATTGGTAAGGATAAACTTTTCGGGAGAAGGAAGAGCAAGGAGTCGACCGTCTGATGACATGAATCTTTTTCGTAGTTGGCATTAGGTAATGTCATTTCTGCTCTGGGTGACAAAACGAAGAAAGCCTTGCATATACCGTACAGAGATTCGAAGTTGACCAGATTACTCCAAGATTCTCTTGGAGGTAAAGTTTTGAATAAAGTTGCGACAGAAATTTCGAGATACAAAGCGTTAGAAGTGCAATAAATTAAATATTATGACGAATTTTGCGTTGCAGGAAATAGTCAAACTGTCATGATAGCGTGCGTATCACCAAGTGATAGAGATTTTATGGAAACACTAAGCACTTTAAAATACGCGAACCGAGCGAGAAACATAAAGAACAAAGTTACTATTAATCAGGATAAGAGCTCGAGAACGATCGCTTCGCTTCGTCGTGAAATTCAGCAGCTTCAATTAGAATTGTTAGAGTATAGACAAGGTACGTTTCATCAGGGTACATTATACATCTCGATTTCACATGAATAATATTTTCTTATTGGTTTTTATCTTATTATTTTATCTTATTTAATTTCGTATCTTTGCGCTTCCCTTAGGCAAGAGGGTCGTCGGTGAAGACGGTGTTAACGACGCGTGGCACGAAAATCAAATGTTAAACAGCGAATTGCAAAGTCTTCGGACTAGGGTGAAAGCACTTTCGGAAACGGTGGAGGCATTAACCGCTAAGAATGTTCTTTTGCTAGCGGAGAAAGCAGCAGGTCACTGGATGGCAGCGTCGAGCGGAGGTGACGAGCAGGTGACTAGTTTGGTGCAGGGCTATGTTCAAGAGATAGAAGAGCTAAGGGCTCGTTTATTGGAAGCGGAAGCTATGTATCAGCAATTAAAAAAGAGGCAGATGCAGGTAATGTGTCGAATTTTAATATGAAAAGTCGTAACAAACTTGATAACTTCGAGTTATTATGATAAAATATCATTCAGGTTAATGCGGCGAATCCATACGGAGATAGTTCATTTCATTCTGACTCCGCAACCGTATTGGTCGATGCTAAGAAGGATCTCGAGAAAGAAATTGAAACGTGGAAAGCCTTGAAGGAACAGTACGGCCAGAGTAACGTTAGTGTTAAGGCAGTGGACGAAGGAGAAATCGACGATACGGAAAATGCGCAGGATTCTGTAAGCGAAGATGATTCCGATGACGATTCCGATCGTAAAGGTACGCTTAGATACACAGCGTTATCTTATAGATATAGTATAATAAAACAAAGTATTTGCACATTTTATACTTCTTGGAAGAAATCCGCATGAGGAAAGATCTTGCACAGTATTTCTATCGGGATGTATTTTGTTATCATTTATATTAAAATGTTATGTGAAAGTATATTATAGCGACTTCTTTCTTTCAGATTTCAAGACGCGAGGTATTCATCTACTTGTTCACGCGTGTGCTTTAAAAACTGTGTCTTTGTTACATTGTACATTATTTTACAGAAGAAGACGAAGAGGAAGCAGCCATGGGTCGTGAATTGGAAGCGTTAACGTCCGATATTGATGTCAAGCAACGCTTAATACAAGAGCTCGAACTCTCTCAAAGACGTTTGCAAACTATGAAGCAACATTATGAGGATAAGCTGGCACAATTGCAAGCTCGCATCAGAGATACGCAAGAGGAAAGAGATAAAGTATTGATGTCTTTGCAACAACAACCCGCACCGCCTACCGAGAAAGTGAAGAAATTGCGCGACGAATACGAGAAGAAGCTTTCTAATATGCAGAAAGAGATGCGACTTCTGCAATCTGCTAAAAAGGAGCACGCGAGATTATTGAAGAATCAGTCACAGAGTGAAAATAGATTGAGAGGCCTGAGGAACGAGCTTTCGGAGATGAAGAGAGCGAAAGTGAAACTTCTTAATAAAATGCGAGAAGAAGCACAACGACACAAGGAAAATGAGCTAAGACGTAATCGAGAAATAGCACAATTACGTAAGGAAAGTCGCAGAAATGCAAATGTGATCAGAACTCTGGAAGCCGACAAGAGGATGAAGGAAGTTGTGCTCAGACGTAAGCAAGAGGAGGTAACGGCACTACGAAGAAGAGACAGAGGCTTGAGTCAGAAAGCCGCTGGTCGCACACCGGCTAAACCGATTAATCCCAAGGCACTAAAGCAAAGGTGGCAGACGTTCGAGAGGACGATCGCTAAGCAAGCACTGGCGAAACAAGCCGCCGCAGAAACAGAAAGAGAAATGGAAAGATTGCTTCAAGAAAGGGAAGAATTGGGAAGAGATCTGGAGAAGCTTCAGAAGCATAGGAACGTTATTGCCAATTCCAGAGGCGACACCACGGACATTGACGAAGAGATCGATAATGTGAAGAGTAAAATCAGTTATTTACAGGTAATAATTATCATAATTAGTAATAATTTTGTATGATTCAGCGAGTCTCTCTAATGGTTCAATGATTGTTCTTATCTTCATTACTAACGCGTAAAATATTGCAGGACAGTATTTCAGAGTGCCAACGGGACATGGTTGAGATGGGCGATGGTGAAGCGGAAGGTGAACCCGGTGTTGAAGCGCTCATCTCCACCATTCGAACAGTGGATGAGGCGCAGTACTTATTGCAACGGATGCTCGCATTTACCGTGGAGCAGAGCTGCGTGGCCGCACAAAAGCAGCTCGAAGTACGAGATATGGAGTCACGGCTCAATCAAGTTGCACAAGAAAGCGACGTACAGCATCAGTTGCTGGAGCACGTATTACGCGACAGAGACCTTTTATCGCTCACGAACAATCATAATAATGCATTAGCTTACAGCCCAGCCAGTTCAAGAAGCTCCTCTCCTGATAAGTAAGTCGAACAGCGATATTGCATATTTTTAAGTGTATTTCATATTTTAAATTCCCTTTTCAAAGTGTAACATTATATTTGGAAGTATATACGTAAAAATGTTGATTCTAACATTTTCGTATGGACAAATTGCATTTCTTTTCTCTTTTTCCGTTTATGGAAGGACTAAGGTTTTAATTGTATTTTATATAACAGCGAAAGTTATGGCCAAATTATACTCGGTGAAGAGAAACAGCGTAATAGTAAGGTCAGAAGAAGAACGACGCAACCGCAAGAACTTCTTTACGGTATACACGCTAGTCCAGAAAATCTAAAAGCGGACGATCAGAATCAAAATCATAACCATCCTCTTACAAGGGTTCCTAGTGCACCAGGTAGCCTGAAGTAAGTATATGGACATCTCAATTTATTGTTTTATTAATATTTAGAGATATAACGTGAAAGGGACATGCGGAAAGAAACTATCACCTCCTTAATTGTGCTGTGATTTATTTAGCACATTGTACACAATAATTGTAAAAGATAAGTGAAAAAGATAAGTGAATATCCATTTCTTTAGTTTTTAATCATGAAAATTTCAAAACTTGCAAACATTTTGAAATATTATATGTATTACCTACCTGATTACCTAATATTTTAACATAAATTTTGTATATTCACAGAGGTCTGGTATTAACGAGGAATCAATACGGTGGCACTGTGACTGGTGGATCGCCAACTTTGACTCGTCGCGACAGTACATCACCCAGAGCTCTGCGACGACCAATACATCCAGGTGGAGGCTCCATGTGAGTGATTATCCTGCAGCACATCCTTGTTCTTGTATTCTTTGCATACATCTGTCTTGATTTCCTACTCCATGCACTATTGACTACTTTGTTTCCCTGAGATGAATTTCATTTTGTTGATTTTGTCTGAGAAACGGGAATCAAGTGCAAGTATTTCGTGCCTATAAGAATATTAATAATGTTTAATACTTAATATTTTATATCTCTCTCTCACTTAGTGTGATATATACACACATTGGAGCAAATGTAAGCACGAAATGGAGCAGGTCTCATAAAAGGGTCTCATGAACAAGTTTAATGTAGGAATTATTGTTGTAACATACGCGCACACCTATGCACACACACAAACAAATACGTTATATTACAAAGAATATTTATTATGTTACTCTATGTGTACAAAATATTTCTAAGTTTTATATGTTTGTATAAAAAATAAGACGTTCTTCGCGATAAATTTCTAAGTATTACATATTGTAAAATAGGACTTTTATACGTCAATATGTATAGCGTGTTCTACACATCTTACTTTCGTATGATACGTTGCTTTCAAACGACATCTTTGAAGAAACATCTGGGTTTATATATGTTTAAAGATAAGTATTTTAATTTATGCAGTGTAATATACACTCATTATGGCGAAGGAGTACCTAATAACACGTAATATTTATTGTTTGATCCACTTATACAATTTACACGTGTTGTTAACAATTGCAATAAGGAGAGATTAATTTATACAAGATATTTCTTGGATAAATCTCATTAATATATTAGATAGATTTAAGAATTGTTTTTCTCTGTAACATAAGTTAAAAGAAATAAATGGCAAAATTTGAAAAGTAAGAAGCGACAGTACAGATAGCTAATGGAAGAATCTCCTTGACGCGACGTTCCGTTTCTAATTTATATAGATTTCTGAATACGAAATTTGCATTTGATAACGGCTGGAACTGATTGCGCTTGATTGTGTACTACTCTCCATTTCCCGTATGCGTGTAATCTTATGCGGGCAAAACTAAATTAACATAACGTCCCGCTGTTCTCCTCGCACATGCATGTTTAGTATGATTTTTAAGTCGGCATGTGATAATCTGGATTAGCGAAATGCCGGCTAACTAACACGCTAACATGTAACAAACACACCTACCAGGGAGCAGGTAGCGCACACGGATATATCGTCACCTCCTGGATCTCCAACTACCTACAGGCGGTTCAATAGCCGCGAAGAAAACGTTTTTTCGAGACTAACCGCGAGTAGACAACCGATCGCGTCTGAACCACAGCCAATGAAAGGAATTATCTCGCAGTATCAGGGCAAGGTAGGTGTGAACGTTAGACCGCGAGTTGCCCAGATTTTTTTTTTGAGCGAGTAAAGCATAAAAATGTGATTTTTCCACTAGGCGCAACCACGGGCCATTTTACAGTGTTCCCACATAGCCGAAGGACACAGCAAAGCCGTCCTTACCGTGTGTGTAACGACGGATTTACTCTTTAGCGGTTCGAAAGGTAACGCGAAGAAGAGCGAGCGATGAAGGACTCTGCGTAGAATAATTGCGATTAATTCTCAGTGTGAATTTTCAGATCGTACTGTGAAAGTGTGGGACTTGGAGACAGGAATCGAGAGTCTGACTCTGAGTGGTCATCCCAATAACGTCGTTGCCGTCAGATATTCTGCCGTTAATCAGCTCCTGTTCAGCGTATCCGCGGCGTACGTTAAAGTCTGGGATCTGAGAGCCGGTAACAACTGTATAAAGACGTTACTTTCCTCCGGTCAGACTCAAAGCGGCCCCATCGCATTGTCGACTCCGTCTAGAACGCTTCAACTACCCGTGGGCGAAACGACGATCAACGATCTGGTGCTCAGTTTAGATGAACAGGAGTTGTACACGGCGTCCAGCGATAAAGTGAGAATATGGGATTTACGTAAACTGACTTATACCGGTAGATTAAGCACGCCGCATACAGCGGCGGTCATGTGCCTGACCGTCGCCGAAGACGGTCGAGTGATAGCCGGCAGTAAGGATCATCTGATATCGCTCGCTGAGGCAAATGCGTCCGGGCCGTCTGTTAGTTTAGCGCCGCCACACTATGACGGAGTGGAATGTCTCGCTACAATCGGTTCTACGCTATTTTCCGGTACGTCTACATACGTATTAAAATGCAGATTTCTCTCTATCTCTACCGTATATAACACGATAGTTATTTTATAAAATTGTACGAGTTATTTGATAAATTTGTGGAAATCTCAGTATGTGTGTGAAGCTGAATATTCTTAAAGCTGTTTTTTGAAATTTGTTTCTTTAATTGAATTTGTTTCTTTAATTGAAGTATTTCAAAAAGATTTTTAATTGCTCGATTATGTCGTAAATCGCTTATTTATAGTCAATTCGCTTTTCAGGCTCTAGAGATATGTGTATCAAGCGATGGGATCTGAATAAAATGGAACTAGTTCAATCTCTAAATAACGCGCACAAGGACTGGATTTTGGGATTGTGCACAGTAAATAACGGTTCCGTCATGGTCTCCGGATGTCGCGGTGGTGTGTTGAAGGCATGGTCCGTTCCTAAGGATCATTCGGGGGAATGCACGCCCATCGGCGAAGTGCGGGCGCATGCCTCCGCCATCAACGCCGTCGCAACCAATCAGCAGCACATATTCACAGCAAGCAAGTGAGTAACATGAATACAAATTCTCGACGGTTTCTCACGCAGCGCTACGCTCAAAATAATAGATATGCAACGGTGCGCGGCGATGGTTGTTCATAGACGGAGCCAATAGACGTGAATTATTTAGCGTAAATCGTGTTAGACACTATGCATATTTGGGTTCAATAGCCCGCTGTGATATTTTAGGCAAAATGTAACTGTCTCGGATATTGATTTCAGCTCTGGAGAGGTGAAGCTGTGGCGTATCCCCGATTCTTCATTATCTATGTCTATCTCCACAGTTTCCCTTTAATTTTATTTGCTTTTTGCTTGTGCGTCTCACTGTTATGCGTCTATCTCGTATTTTTGTGGTGATGCGCATGCTTACCTACAGTTCAAACCATGTCTTTTTACACATAACATGGCAGTTAAGGCTGCATTATCTGTTATTTCTATGACATATACATAAAATGTTATTATACATTTGATCATTTTTTTAATGCACTACCCAATGCTTAGAGTGCCGAATGAAAGTGAACGCGAGTAAAGTTTGTGCCGACATGTTTACGTTTGCACTTTGTCTGTGAATTCGTGTGACTTTTAATCACAGGAACCTTAGCCGTCTTAAAGATTGAACATATTATGTTATGAGAGGATCGAATTTAACATACACCAAATTTCTCATATATCTCTAACTTCATACACATTTTTTACGATTATTGGTATAGAACCATTCCTTTTCCAGCCAATAAATCAAAATTACACATAAGAAAATAATCACTTACATGACGACTGTATGTCTATTAGCTTAATGTTGTATAAACGTTTAATTTATATATATGTTATTATTTGCTTCTATGTTGTTTACTCCAATTTGGTGCTTTGCATGGTCATGGTCGATACGAAGTGACGGAACTGTGAGATTGTGGAACTACAGTAAACGAGAAGCAAGGACCTTCCAGAGGAGCAACTCGCTGAAAAGCTAATGCCTATGTATCGTATGCTACGTGATAAATTGTGTTATTTAACTTTCAATTATATATGGTTTTAACTTAATCTAAATGATAATGCACCTGATCCATCCACTATTAGTTTCGTATTGTATATTAATATTTTAGTATTATTGGGGATATATACTTGCTAAAGCGGTTTTATATCGGTTGACTCTATGTCGTGAAAAAAATAGATATTAAAAGATATGATAGCGATAAAACGTACAGAGCAAATATGTCTGTTATTTAGCAAAGTGATTGAATTACAAATGTTAAAGCAGCTTGACTGGAGTAGGAATTACGTGCATTATCATAAAACGCCTAAATGCAGAATTTGGATAAGATTTTATCCAAAAGAAAGAAAAACTATGTTATCTAATATTTATTTTATTATTAACATAAAGATAATTATAATATTTATTCTTACAAACAATAAGTATGTAAGGTGATTAATACTGTACAGTTTGAGGTCATTGTAGGTTCCAAATACTGGATATTGTCAGGGTTGGCTGTTAGTCAATTTTCTTCTGAAAATTTTAACAGTATTATGCGCCTTAATTATGTTCATAATTGCTACGACAAATAAATCAGTTGTATACGAAAAAAAAGTACGAGGAGAACTCTAATGTAAATTTTTACACATACCTCTTTTTCTTTTTATGCGTGGTAAGTGATTCTTGACCGCTATCGTCTTCGCTGTTTTCGGATTGACTACTACTGCTACTACTTGAAGAGCTACTTGAGGATCCGCTCGAAGAGTCACTGGCAACACCGGTATCTTCTTTTACGTCTATAGTGTCCGTTAACGCTGCCAGTGTAGGCTCTTTATCCCTGAGTACCTTTAACCATTTTCGCGATAGTTTCGGTCTCCCTCGTACCTGTTTGTAACGATTATGTTACAATTTGCAAATTTTGCTTCTTTTCGCTGTACAGGAGAATCTAAATACTCTCGCATATTTTATTCTCTCCACACACTTATTATATATACTATATAATTATATTTACGATCATCTCAGAGATAATGATGTTATATTTTGTGCCTCAATCTTACCGTTTTATGCCAAACTACTGGAAAGTTGGTTCGCGAACAGAAATTCTGTGTAACTGCTATAGTTTCATCAAGATTTAAAACAATATGCCACCAACCGCCGGGGATAAAAACGGTTTCGCCGGGAGCCTGCAGAATTTCTATCGGGCGACAATCTTGTGGCCATGTAGGTAACTTTGTTCGTGGATAGACAACGGAAAACCAAGTAATAGCTTCGTCTCTCTGTTTGCCACCCTCGGCTGCAGATACCTTGAGAAGTTCGCGAGGTGTATGCGTCGGAAATAAACACCAACGTTTGTGACCGGAAATCAATGCATTCCATGCACTGGTACCTAATGGATCTATATGTATTCCTGTACCTGCGAATACAATTTGCGAATATTTGATGGAAATCTTACATAGATGTAATATTATTCCGTTACAAATCATTAAGACCTTGGTTGTCTTGGTGATTAGTACATGCCATGGAAGTTTATCAATCACTTTAAAACATCCTGATTTCATGATCTCTTATTGCATTATCTAATAATTCACAAAGATGTTACAGCTATCTTTCTGATATATTTAACATTCATTATGAATGTTGTTATACACTAGAGAATATATTTACCTGACCTAGCAGGTCCCATAACAAACCATCGATATGGTGGTCTTCGGTGTTCCCCAGCATAGTGAAAAAGATCATCCCGAAAGTATTTTGGAATTACATAATCTTCTAGCAATTTCTTTCGTCTTGGATGCTCACCAAATGAACTGTCAAAAATGTATAAGGGAGAATCGTCATCATTATGTAGCATATAACGCACATAATACTTCATCTTCATTTTTACACTGTATCCTTCATTATCTTCGCCGCATTTAAACTTTTGATTCCGATATTTCTTGGCTAATTTCTAGAACAGAAAAAGATTATTGTATGGCTTGATCTCGAAATGGATACTAATTTTTATATATGTCAAAATCAGAGTTGAAAAGGGACACATTACTTGTTATGCTGTTACCATTACTTTTTTCAATTCAAAAACATTAATTTTTTTTATTAATAACAACAATAATAACAAGTTGAATAGTTATTTTTATAGTTACTTTACATATGATAGAGTCTATTAGATGTTCCAAAGCATTCTAACTATATAATAACATCTAGTAACAACTATATAATATCATTAAACCATATATAAAAAAAATTATATTTTGAAGCACTAAGCATGTTTATTTTAATTAAACTGATACTGCATTAGAACTTTGTTTCTTTTCCTTTCAAAGCTAGGTTATATACTTGTTTTGCTCTAACAACAAAAAAGTGTAATCTAGTTTGATTAAGAAAGCAGATCTACTTATTTGTTAAACATAAAAAAACATGTATATGGAAAAAGTAATAAGTAATATAAAGCTTTTCAAAATTTGCTGAAGAAAAGAAATAGAAATTGTAATGATTCGTTACTTCTTAAATAATGATAAGGGTAAAAAGGGTTACTTCTCAAAACAAGTAAAAAAGATATTTTTAAAAAACATTTTTCTGAAAATTTTTAAAATAAAAATGAGTTATTTTTTAACAATTTTCCCAACTCCAATCACACAAAAACATAATACAAAAAATAACCTCTATAGTCCACTTGTACTGGGCTTTCCAGCCATTTTGAACACCTCGTATTATCACAGGCTTGTAAGGTTTTTCAAATCTTTCTATAAAATCGTCCATAGTCGTGTCGGATTCATCGATTCGTTCGGCATTATCTTGAAATTCCCAAAATGCTTGAAAATTCTTACTGTAACCATGCTGACTCCATGCTACTTTATCTGCCAACTCTACAAGTACATGATACATTATCGAGTTTAGATAACGCTCTCGATTATTACTTAAATTAGCTGAAGAAGATTTTGCATATATAATATTATAATAATATAAATATGACGCGAATATATATTTCCAGTATATATATATATATATATATATATATATATATATTATATACATATATGTATGTATATGTTCCTATTGGAACCATACTCGAGGCACATACGTCGAATTAAGTTAGCGAACGGCTGGAAACGGTAAATGGATTAAGATTATCGTAAAATCGAATTACATCATCGTCGTCCAAGATCAAGAGGCGGGTACACGATAGCTCCTTCTCGTTCTTCTTCGAAACGATCATACGGAGTCCGGTGAATGACAAGATTGTTACGATATGCTAAGCACGAGCTTGTTTTGGCTGCGTATAATGGATAAATGAGATTCTACAGAAGCCGAAGGAAGGCGATATCGATGCGTGACCTTGTGTCGTTTTACACAATATAGGTTATAAATTACAAATTCCATTTTTACTACCTGGTCGGGCCTTCTTTTTCACTTCCTTGATCCTCTTCCTCGCGCGATGATCCAATTTCAATTCATCCGTCATGACTACGCGTCGTATTGTCTTATTTAATCTACTCCGGGAATATGTATTTACAGCTTACGATACAGACACTTTCGCTGGACATCGCTCAACAACTATGAACGGTGAGAAATTGGGACTACTGGAGAAAAACGTTATTTATATTCTTTATGATCATTGAGACAAAATGTTATAGAACCACAACCTTAACTAAACTCCCGCGTACGTTGAACCGCGACACCGCTCTCGTTTCCATTACGTAGTCAATGGCTAAATTCAGAACTGCGTTCCAAAATTCTACTCAGTGGGTACAGTACATTTATGCCCAATTTCTTCACCTCCGATTAACTTTATCTGTCGGATAAATGTCAACCGTGATTGGTTAATCTTGCCAACCATAAATATGATTGATCAATTTCAATAGAATAACTGGCAGATAAAGTTAACCGGAGGTGAAGAAATTTGGCATTAATTGACCAATCATGATAAAAAAAATCCTAGTTATCTTTGTTTTTATTGGTCAATTAAATGCTACTCTACCCTTCAAGTAGAGTTTTGGAACGCAGCTCACGGAAACGGCGGTTGAGGTGGTTGTTCCAAATTCTTGATCAATTAATTGATAGCTAAATTATATCTTCGTTTTTTCTTCAAATTGGACAAAGGTAGACAATAATTTAACTGTTAGGTGGCTTATCAAGAAGTTGGTTACAATCAGCCCTAAGTGATGTTTTTTATATACAGGACGCGGAAATACCTGCCGTGCGGCAAGAAATGACGCAATAGCAAATAAACTTGCAACTCTTATGAAAAAACGGCATGTTAATCGGCTACCGCGTTGTTTCTTGCAATGCGGTAAGCGTTCCCGTGTTCTGGAATACTCTCGAAAATGTAACGTGGATATTCTCTCACTTTTTATTTCACTCTTGTATCTCTCTCCAAAATATCAGTTCCAATGCAGCAGGTCTTTCTCTCTCTCTTTTTTATTTCAGACCTATCTCAGTAGTCCTTTCACCACACTTATTAGTTAAAGATGATTATTAATATTTCCCGAAAATAATTCCGAAGATTGTTTCCAAAAAAATCCTAGATTACGTCCGAAGGTTCAAACATGTCTTTACGCCACAGCGGTTAGGCCGGAACTTCAACGCAGCAGGTCCTTCCTTCCTTCAATATATGGCTTCCGGTAATTTAATACTCAACGCCATTTGCATCAACGCAGCAGGTGCACTCAGGAATAAAGGACTTATGGCTCCTGCACACAGGACGCGGTAATGCTTACCGCGCGGCGGAAGTTCGCGCGACAGCCAATCAATATTTGTTTTTCCGTGAGAGCTATAAGGTTATTACGGGATGCAGCATATTGATTGGCTGTCGCACGAACTTCCGTCGCGCGGCAAGTGTTGTTGCGTCCTATGGGCAGGAGCCATTAGTTTGTGTGAATCCTGCATAAAGGCCTTTGTACGTAGAAAAATTTTAATCGTAAGGGGTACCGCACACGATTGACATAACAGGGCCCTTCTTGAAATAATGGTGTATACGTAAGTTTTACTGCGCAGGTTTAATCATACCATAAAATAGCTGCGCAATGAAAATTATGTATACGTAAAAATTTCAAGAATAGGGGCCCAGTAACGTAAAACGTACCGTAAAAACGGACCAATTACAATCAAGAGGCCTGTTCTTTGTAGCTGCATTGCTGAACTGGTGCAATATATTGAAGTGAGACAAATATACGTTTTCTCACTCTAACTTATTGCACTAGTTCAGCAGTGCAGCTATAAAGAACAGACTTATTTATTCATAAAAATGGCGATCTTATGGCTCCTGCACACAGGACGCAGTAATGCTTGCCGTGCGACAGCCAAGCAATATGTTGTTTTTCCGTAATGGCTCTCGCAGACCAGTGCGATGCGCGACACGATACACGATATGCGACGAGCGATATCTAATGAGCGTATTGGTATTCCGGAAAAGCTGTACGCTCATTGGATATCGCGCATCGCATATCGCGTGTTGCGTCGCAAATTGCGCTGGTTGCGAGAGCCATAAGAGCTAGAAGGTTATTACAGAAAGTAACATATTGATTGGCTGTTGCGCGAACTTCTGCCGCGCGGCAAGCATTACTGCGTCCTGTGTGCAGGAGTCATTAAGGTTCGACGATACTCAAAGTGATTGGTCAATTCTTATGGCTCTTGTATACAGAACGCGGTAATGCTTGCCGCACGGCAGAAGTTCGCGCGACAGCCAATCAATATGCTGCTTTCCGTAATAACCTTCTAGCTCTTACGGAAAAACAACATATTGATTGGCTGTCGCGCGGACTTTCGCCGCGCGGCAAGCATTACCGCGTCCTGTGTGCAGGAGCCATTACGGTACGTCTTGGGCTATCGCACACAATTGACATAACTGCATATGCATAGCATAAGACCGTATATACCAATGAGCATCGAGTATTAAGTCGCCATATTGGTGTTCGATGCTTAATATTCGATGCTTATTGGTCCATACGATCTTATGCTATGCATATGCAGTTATGTCAATTTGTGTGCGATAGCCCTTACTGTTGTCATTTCATTTCACTCATTTATTGTTATGGACCGCCTAGAGGCACGTCTCTTACACCATTTTGAAAGTTACTGTTATGTCAATTAGTGTGCGGCGCCCCTAAAGGGACGTCTACATTGGAAGTAAGCAGTAAGAAGTAGGAAGTAAGAATAAGAAATGGACCAATTATAGTTGATTATTCTTCTCATATTCGACTGTGGTTGGTCAATTTCTTACTTTTACTTCCTATTTCTTATTACTTACATCCAATGTAGACGTCCTTTAAGTTCCGATCTAACCGCCGTTATGTCAGATTACGTGTATGAATACATTCGGAACTGATTTTTTTGGAAATATCTCGGTATCTTGAATGAAAATATGAAATTGAGATTAGTCTGAGTTCAGGTAAAATAATAATAATAATAAGAAGAAGATTCAGATACTGTCAGTTTAGAAGTGTACTGTCTTTGAAAATGGTGAATATTACAGTTATTCAATTATATATAAGCCATAAGTCTCGAGCGCTTTATTGTAAGTAGAAATGGTCTATGTATTCTCTCTCTCTCTCTCTCTCTCTCTCTCTCTCTCTCTCTCTCTCTTCGGAATAGTATACAGATCTATTCAACAGGACCTTTCACCACTTTCAATACTATGGCCCATATTCTGAATCCTTTTTTATCGATAAAAGTGCCTTAAATGTAGCTTCTCAGCCAATCAGGTGGCTCCTAAGCCTCTTTTAGAGGCTCATTTATCATTAAAAGAGAACACAGAATACGGACCTATGTATATATGTCGACTTTTATTCGTAAAGGAGAGTTTAGAATAAGGATTGAGGTCTCTAACCTAGAAAGGAGACTCTCCTATTGGGCGCTGCTGGACACGGACGCGTTGGACGCATGGGAATTCACCATTGTGGCGACATACAGGACGCGAAAACGCTCGGCGCGTGGACACAAAGCGACGTAGCGGCCAATCAAGTTCTGGCTCTTGTGGAAAAACGGCGCATTGATTGGATACTGCGTCGCTTCCGCGTTTTATGTACAGCAGTCGTTACATCGACGGCACCTCCGTGTCGCGCGTGCTGCCGCGCGGGTATGCACGTCAGAGGGAAGAGACATGACGTACATACGCCATGTTCGCCATGTTTTGATGTCGTCATCCCCCCCGAACGCCGTTCGCCAAGTGCAGCACAATAGTCTGTGTTTTGTAGTGAGTGTTTCCCCGTAACAGTGCGTTAATCGCGTTTCTGGTGATTCGTCCCGTTGAATCATCCAGCACCCTCCCCGTAGCACGTAGATCGCATGCACGCCGCGAAGCTGGATAACCCTCGACCACCTCGTAGAAGCTTCGCTGAACGTGGGCGCTCGAACCTTTTTATGTCCGAGGAAGTGCGACCGCGGTGCGGGGGGGGTTCGTGAGCGTCGTCTACGTGGTGATTGTGTCCCAGTGTGAGACAGGGTAACGTCGTCGCTCCGATAATCGTCCTTGTTTTAACTTCAGTTAGCACTGCCTCCTCCTACTCGCTATTGGCCGCTGCCTGCCTCGAGCCCTTCAATAGACAGCCAGTCACTCGATACCGTTGGCTTTCTGTGGTTACATCACGTCACCCTGAGCGGGCGTATCCAACGGGTCCCTCGGATCCGTGCAGAGAGAGAGCGTCTGGTTCTTGTGCGTACGTACGTGCGTACGTGCGTACGTCCGTGCGTGCGTGCGTGCGTGCGTGCGCGCGTATGTCTGCTCCTTTTCTCGCCTGCGGAACCCGAGGAGAAAAATGGAGCTGCGCTTGCACTCGCCAGCGGGAGCAGAACCGATCGTGTACCAGTGGCCACTTACATCCGGATCAGGATCTGTGAGTAGATCTAAACGTAACAGATTTTATGTGAGTAGATTTTTTTTCTTTTTTTCTCATTTTTTCGGAGGAGGGAAACGAGAGTGTAGCGTAACAAATGAGACCGTGACAGCTGATCGAGCACGAGTTACGTGATCTCACGTGGCAATACGCACGCGTTTATTTGTTTATTTCATTCGTTGTTTTTATATTGTATCCGTGTCTGTGCGCGTTACGTGACGTGTTTGTCGAAACAAATAATGTTATCCGTACTTGATGAGAAATTAGCGTTTATCCGCTTCATTTTCAAAATATTATCATTTCTGAAGATTTACATATTGCTTTGTTGCAATAGTTGCAAAGATTTACATATTCTTTTGTTGCAATTTTATAGGATCGTCACGATGGAGCACTGGACGTTGTTGAAACCATGCGATGGGTTTGCGAAGATTTGCCAGACCTGAAATTACCTTTAGAAAATAATATTCTTTGTAACTATGATACCAGAGATTATGAAAGTATGAAAAACTTATGTGACAGATTCAACAGAGCAATTGATAGTTTAGTACAATTGGTATGTTTATTGGTATGATTCATATGACTAGGCACAACATACATGGGCTGTATTCCAATATTCACTATCAGTACTGAAGATCTGTAGTATACACAACACTCATCATTATTGCGAGCAATAAATTTTTGATGCTGGCAGTGAACATTGCGACAGCCATAATACTTGGACATATACTTCTGGTGTAATTCAATTGGGGTTTGTTGGATATCCACAGGAGAAAGGCACTAGCCTACCATCCCAGAGACTAAATAAGAGACCTAGTAGGGGTTTACTTCGTCATATATTGCAGCAGACATACAATCAAGCTGTTGTTGAACCAGACAAGCTAAATCAATATGAACCTTTTTCACCTGAAGTATATGGCGAAACGAGTTATGAACTTGTGTGTCAGATGATCGACCAGATCGCCGTAACAGAGAACGATGTCTTTGTCGATTTGGGTTCTGGAGTTGGTCAAGTGGTTCTTCAGATGGCAGCTGCAACTTTATGCAAAATTTGCATAGGTGTGGAGAGGGCCGATGTACCATCGAGATACGCGCAGGTACGTACTATGAAAATGATCAAATGGTTCGATTATATTGGTTTTTTTTTTGGATAATGTGAGTATGTAAGGAAGTCATTTCGCCATCTTACAGAGCATGGAAATGAACTTTCGAAAATGGCTAAATTGGTACGGGAAACGATGCGGGGAATATCGGTTGATAAAAGGGGACTTCTTGGCGGACGAACACCGCGAGAGCATTACAGGAGCTACGATAGTGTTTGTTAACAATTTTGCGTTCGGCCCAACGGTTGACCACCAACTAAAATTGCGCTTCGCCGATTTACGGGACGGCGCGCGTATAGTATCATCAAAATCATTCTGTCCGTTGAACTTTCGTATAACGGATAGAAATCTCAGTGGTAATATATTTATATGGTCAATCTTTATGAAAATCTCGAATATTCGCCGTGATCTTAATTTCGATATTATTATATCCGACAGATATCGGCACGATAATGCACGTGTCCGAGATGTCACCATTAAAAGGCTCCGTCTCTTGGACTGGTAAGCCGGTGTCTTATTATTTGCACGTTATCGATCGAACTAAATTAGAACGTTATTTCCACCGCTTGAAGAACAATAAACAAGGTGGCTTAGATGAAAACTCTGATTCTGTGATAAACAACACTGCCAGCAATAGTAGTAAGGTTTCTAATAGGAACGAAAGAAGTGACAGAGCCAAGAGAGATCTTTCGAGGCAACTAGATAGTCCGAATCATTCGGAACAACACGGGACAAACAGCGACTCCGACTTGGACGACAGTACTATAAAAAGTCGTCGTCAACCGAACAAAATAAGGAGGAAGCTCAATAGGAAAAGTAACGGCATCACGAAAGCTCCAGCCAGAGGTCGACAGAGAGGACGAGGTGTTAAGAGGGCTAAGCCTAAGAAGGCGATTAATATATCTGGGTTAGACTTGTTACACAGTCAAACTTTACTCAGTACATCACCACAAGCTCTCGGGAAGAAACCTCCACCGGCACCTGGTTGTGTAGATCAACAACTCTCTTCATTGTCGCTTTCTTTGCAGTCGCATTCCACTTCCGTACATGAGGAACTCAGTATACCGCCTGCTCCGTCCGCGACTCCGTATGCTTTACAGATACTTCTGGACATGTACAGGTACACTTTTGATACTTGTTTATCTCGCTCCTGATACCTTTTTATACACGAAAATATGAGATTCACATATCCTCTTCTTCATGTTGTTAGTGCTTGTACTTTTGCTCGTGTCGCAGTGATGGTTAACTCTTTTGTAGGGACCAATTCATGCTTATGTTAGAATCGATGAGGACTCCCAGCTATCGAGTATCCGTCAATACGGATATCTCCAAAGAAAGAGAAAGAAATTCTAAGCTTCAGTCGAGAGCGGCGCAATTGGAGAAACAAATCAAGGTCTTGATAGACGACAGCGTAGCTCTCTTAAAAGCGCGAATGACTGAATTAGGTATCAATGCTACATCACCCGGGGATCTGTTGGCGAAAGCCAAAGAAATAGTTCTGCGGCATAAGCAGTTGCAAGCTAAGGCGAGCAAATTGCAAGCGCAAGTGGCGTCCATAGAAACTGAACAGAGCAGGCTGGTGGCGCTTAGACACCAAGAGTTACAAGAGAAATATAACAATCACGCTAATACTAATGGCATATCGAATTTATCCCAATCGCTCACGCAGGATTATATATTGAAGGAAATTTCTGCCACTCTATCTCAGCGCAAACGATTACATTCTCAAGTATGTATTTTTTTCAATGTTGATTCAATTTGCGTTATTTATTGTACTATTTTGCATCTTGTGAATATGAAAGAGAGAAAAAGAGAGAGTTATTGCTTTTCGATTTAATTGAGCTTGCTCTGTATAATAGGTTTCGAAGCTTGAGCACGAATTGAATGTATTGGAGAGGACAACTACCGAAAATAAATCAATAGCTGTGTCTCAGCAGCAGAGGGATGCAATGGGAAGTAAACATATGCAAAATTTACACCTTCAATCGCAAGTTACTAAGAACGGGGCGGCGCGAAAAAACAGAGAGGGTCGTTCAAGATCGCAAGATTGGCCGGACGTTCCGGATATTGGGAAAATTCAAGAGAATAATCCAGAAATATTGGCGCAAAAGATCTTAGAAACAGGAAGACAAATAGAGGCAGGTCGTGTGCCGAGCAGACAGAGTACGAATACCAACAATAATTCCAGGACAAGACTACCGCAGGCGTCGCTCAGCTTCTCTACTACACCATCGTCCATTTCATCCACGCAATCACAGGTGGCTGTTAAAGACGCATCAGGTAGAACTCAAGAACCGCCCAGAGTGGCTAATTTCGAAGACCGATTGAAAAGCATCATCACGAGCGTATTGAACGAAGATCAGCAGAACAGAAATAAGCAGCAGCAACTCCAACTGCATGTGCAACTGCCAAATCAGTCCGAACCCGAGAGGAAACGTCTCATGATATCGCAGAATGTTTCCACTCCGGATTATACCCAAGTGAGTGCGCTGAGCTGACTGACTAGCCAATCTTGCAATCTTAAGTAAAAATTCTCGCTTCTCGCATTCCCTATTTCTAACCAATTGTCACAGCGATATCTCATCGGTGCTCATGTTGCAGGTTTCGCCCGCGAAACTAGCTCTTCGCCGTCATCTATCGCAAGAACGCCTCTCATCTCATTTGACATCATCCGACAGATCGACAGTTGATTCTAGACAATCATCGAGTCATGACAATCGCCTTGTAGCAGGTGGAAATGGATTGCTCGGTGCTAGAACGATCGGCGAGCTCGTCAACGGGGAAATTGAGAGGACCTTAGAGATATCGAATCAATCGATCATAAACGCCACTGTCGATATAAGTGCGATGATAAGACCCGAAACCGTATACTCGCCCATTAGCAGGCCGGCGAGTGCTGAAGGAGATGCTGGTTTATCGACTTTGGCGCATGTGGCCAGTTATGCACCTATCTCCTCCGGAATTTCCACATCCACCCCGACAACTAGTTCGAGATCATCCGTGCTTTTCACTCCGGTAACGCAACCGCAAAGGTACACGATCCCTCGTGTTTATTTCTCGTACGACTGTAACACACGTTTCTGTCGGGACACGCTATTCAGATGTGACTGTTCTCCTCCAGATACACGCCAGTTCAGTTGCCGCGAGCAGACATCAAGCCTTATCACGAGTCGTACTTTTCGGATAATGTTTCTCAATCACAAACACAGTCCCATTCAACAACACCGTCGCTACATTCTTCTCAGAACGTAGCGAACGGAGAATTGTTACCCGTAGAAGGACTCGCGGCTTCGTTACATGCACGATTATTGAACAACTCTAATGGTAACGGCAAAGTCGACTTGCCGCTTTCCAACAACAACAGAAGGTAGTGACAATCGAACGATGATCGAACGTGAATATCTCGAATATCGGCATGAGATCGAAAGCGTACAGTATAACACTTAGTTTCTGCAGTTCTAGATTTCAACCGTACTCACGGTATACAAGTAACGGTAACAGTAGTGCCAATGCGACAACAAGCGGCACGATGACGGCGATTTGCCAATCGCAACCTGCTGTGTCAATAAAAACGGAAGCGGTTGTTTCATCGGTGAGCGGAGCATCTCTAAGTCCCCTCGTGGAACCGCATTCTAATATGTCGACACCGCTAGTCGATGAACCCCAGATGACGCGGAGGCAACGAAATACTGATGATGGTGAGTGAAGCAAACGCTTTTTGAGATTCTACATATCCCGTTAGAATATACTAGTTGAAAACACATGCTTTGGAATGATACTATCACTCCCAACCGAATACGCTTTCCCAATGAGCAAAATCTTAGCGATATGCGGGTAGATTGGTAGCAGATTCGATCATGTTGCAATGGCAGATCCATAGCTTGGGTCCATCCATTAGTGTTTGCATTAAACTCGTGTTACATCAACAGAATCTGATGGCATAATTTGACAGCAGATTGACGGTAGAAATCGAGCAAGTGCAGCAGTACATTCCGTATTTAAATACACTTAAATAGTCACCAATCTTGCTTGGTTTCTGCCATCATATTCTAATAGCAGATTCCGTTGTGTTTCTGCTACCAAGCTATCGGCAAAATTCACAGCAGACATTGCGTAATCTGCTTCTGCAGGTTTGGCAATTTGGTACAGTAGCTGTACAAAGATTATCGTGATATTTTGATATTGTGCCTCGAGACGTGATTATAATACGTACTTTTAGATTCGTCTATATATATATATATATATATATATATATATATATATATATATATAAAACGTCTGACACAAGATTATCAAAAGCGCGTGTGTAAGTAGATCAAGTCAAACTGAGCGAAACATTTTTCTACTATTTTTCAAATAACCACGTAAAGTTTCAAGATATTGATGAAAAAAATAATTTTATTCAGTTTGACCTAATCTATCTGCACACGTACGCTTTTGAAAATCTTGTGTCATACACCCTGTATATTTGCCCAATTATTTCTCTATTATTCGCGGTTCAAATTGAAACCGAGTTAGATAAGTAAGACGTCTCGACCGTTAATTCGACACATCTTCCACGAGAATATCTTTCCTTGTGCAATTTGAGGAATGTTACCTGCATAGTTGCATTTGTTTTGTTTTTTAGTTATTAGCTCTGCATAATAAGGAACATAAGAGTACAGTGCGACATTACAAATTACAGACGAGAATACCAAAAATCTTCTCCAAATAGTTACACGATGCTAAACACATGACTTCGCTTAAACTCTCTAGATACCATTGTGTCTACTATCTACACTATGCATCTCACCGTATATTTATATGCACACTAATAGCTTATCTTACGGAGGTGGTACCTGACTTTTATTTATTTATATTTATTTTTGTTGTTGTTTGCTGTATTTGTTAGATGCACTGTAGCTGTTTGTTGGTTAGCTCTGTCTGTCACATACTCGATCTCGCTCAGAGAACTCCCTGAAGCTTGTTTTATTAGAGATTGAGAGACACAGATCAGAGGGAGAAATGAAAAAGTACGGCTGCCTGTGGGTTGGTTCGTCAATACAATTAGTCGCCGGTGAGTTGTCTCACGGGAGCTAATCAAAATTCAATAATTTGCTATATTCTTCGATTCTATTTGCCAAAAAATCGTATATATATACATATCAGAATCCAGTATATTGTTTGCCGCATAGATGTGCGCGCGGGCAGCATACGTCCCCTTCCATGTTGCAAAAGACACGTGAAAATTAGAAATCAGTTTCCATGAAAATAAGCCAGACTCGCACAAGGATACAAGATGCTATTTCGTGGATGAATACATAGGCGCATGTTGTGAATAAAAATTTCAGGAGATATATATTCTAATCGCTGGGTTTTACTTCTAGTGCATGTTGCATGACAAATTCATTTTTAATGTAGTATCGTGTTCACTTTTCGATACAGCTGTTTCAGGTTGTTCGGCTGCTATATAAAAGAATATTCATGTTAGTACATTTTAATTTTCGCCTACACTTCAGCATGTAAAAAGATATGTAATCTGTACTTGACACGTCAATGTAGCAGCGATCGAGAAATTTGTTTTTTCTTTTAGATTAAGAGACACATTACTCTCATCGTATATATGTGTGATACGGTATATAGACGCAAAATTAATTCTCACTTTCCTGCATATGCACATTCTTTTCCGAACATTCACATTTTGTAGTGATGTAATGTAGTTTATTTAACGTATTCTACTTGAAATATCGCCAGAGTTTCTGAATACTATATGTATTTGCATTGTACATATTGCTATATAAGATGAGGAGTCGCGTGACTTCCACTTATTAGCAGTAGGTATGTGCATACATAGACTTTTGACTTAAATTCAGGCAACTCGTAACAACTTTAATACAGGACATATATATCCTGCGTTTTCCAAACATGTAGTTACATTACACACGTAGTTTTTCATATGTAACGATAAAAAGTATAATAGTAACAGTAAATTGTATCATATCAGTATGGGTTAATGGCTTATTTTTATGAAAATTTTGCCGCGATATATCGCTTGCCTGATGCTTGAGCGCGATGTACATTACAACGGCTACAAGTAAGATTTATTTTACAGACGGAGAAGCTGATTGGCAAGATCGCATCAGCTCCGGATTCGATCGCTTGGTCGCGTTTGCTTCTACAGAGTTGGACAAACGCAGGCGATCGACCGAAGGAGTGAACACAAGTCCGGACAGCGGATTAGGCTCAGACAGCGCGGTAACAGGACCGCCGCCGGTAGTACCGTCGCCCGACGAAGCGTTAGGGCCGCCGAGAACACCCTCTCCGACCAGTCCCCGTCCTCCGAATCCATCCAACGGCAATCCCCCAAACGGCGCGTCTACCTCCTCGGTACCTCTGAAATACCAGCGGCAACCAGACCCCGAGCGACATCATTTCAAAAAAAAGTTTTTTCATCGTGATTGGAATAATTCCGCGAGCACTAGCAAATTTCGCCCTAAAGGCAAGGACTGGGATTGGAACCATTCTGGACAATGGCCCTCGAACGATGAACAATCTTAACTCCATCTTTATTGTGCGAAAGATAGTTTTTCTTGCACATATTGAGAAACATGGAGAATTTGCCTGCTCTTATGTATTCGATTATATAACGAATAGGGGCGGGCGTTGTTTTCGCTTTTACATTTTTTATTTATTTGTGTTTCGTTATCGATTATCACACTCACACACATACACATATATTTCTCTTGTATCGTGTTAATTGCGAACACATCCCTAATTGTGCGACACATACAGGAGAACTATTTCGTACGATGTATTCTATTAAAGGTTAATGAAGGGAGAAACTGTATCTATACGGGAGCGCTTGACTAGTTATACCTACAAAATCGACGAACCGACGCTTGTTTTCCACATCTGTCGTAAGATATATTTGTATCGCAATGAGAGAGAGATAAAGAAAGAGAGAGAGAAAGATAGAATAGTTACGAGGCTAATTAAAGCCCACTTCGGACGACTCTGTAATTCCCAGTAGAATGCGGAGCAGAATTTTATTTGTAATTTTATAATGTTGGCAAATATTTTGTAAACTTGTAATATGAAAAAGCATTTGTAGAAATTTATATATGTGTTCATGTGTCTGGTAAGTCTTATTCTTTACATGCTTTACAAGTAGAGTTCCGTTCCGAATTCTCGTTTAATATTGTTCGAGATGGGCTTGATACGATAATTAAGGGAATCGCGGAGTGAGATCGTAAACTTATTAGCAATATACGCAAGTGTATTAAGAAGAATTTAAAGACCTTGACAAAGATTTATCAGACATTACTCTCCGATTCGTAGCACTTTAACTTAATAATATTATTAGTGATCAGAGTCTTTTTTGGTAAGGCTTTGCAAATAATTATTATCAATTTGGTCTCTTTTTAACACGATTACACAATACCACCGAGATTGACATGCCATGTGTTTTTGTATAATATGCAAAAGAGTCTTGTAATCCGCGCCTGTATACGTACACACATATGCAATATACATACACATAACACATAATTACTGCATATTAAACACGTTAGAGAAGTATATTAGAGAGAACAATGTACCATACGTGTTACAGGCGTGCATTACGACGGACCGGTCGAAACACAATTGGCATCGGCAAAGAAAAGAGGGAAAAAAAGAGCAAGCCAGCAAAACCTCTGTGTGTTCGTAGCAAATATTTGCTGCAAATTTTATATGCGGCTAAATCTTCCACCGTCTCTGGAAGATGTATACCTAAGTGTTCACTGTGGCTCATAGAATTATTGTAACAACGGACAGAGCGGGGAAATAGTCACTTGGCGGGAACGTTGAAAATGGGAAAATTCGTTCTTTTTGCACGCGCATCTACATACGTCGTTGTACGATTATATACGTGGAATATCCAAAGAAAATGGTACTTGCGAGTGAGTTTACATAGTTTCGAGTGGTGCACCCGTATTGGGCATCACGCGTGGGTGCTGCGAAAGAAGAATAGAGTAATCATCAAGTAATAGTATTTCGAGTCGACGATTTATCCGAGGCATTCGTCGGCGCGACATTGATTGTATAAAGGTCCCTTCTTTTTTACATTGTCTCGCATTGTCTTACTTATATATGCGAAGGGAGGGAAGGACGGCGGTCACACATCGCGTTTCGGAGATTTTGAGAGGATTAGTTAAACGATCATTATTTAACAATCTCCTGTGGGTCTTTATACATTTATAGTTGTAACGATATAGCCCTCTGCCAAGCATGTCGGACACACTGCCGAATCTTCTATTGATTATTAATTTTATTGAACGCAACTATATTATTTATTGTTTTTATTGAAATATTTTAATACTATTACTATTTGTAACAAGTAAGGTTTTTCTCTATTATTTCTACCTTCCCGCATCTAGCAGTTTTTTCTAGCGGTATTCCCGATAAAGAGCAAAGTGTAAATGACTCTGGCTCCCGAGCGTAATTGTCGCTACCTCTTTTACCGAGTCAAATATTGTGCGAGGTACGCGGTTCACATCAACGTACAATAAATGACAGATTTGATACCGATCTTAATTTTAGGATCTAAGAATTCGAATTGTTGTCAATTAAAGTCAACTACGTATTGTTATCGCTACATATTACACATATCACAGCGATGATACAGCATCGATCTTTTCCGAAGAAAAGTTATTACACCGCCGTCGCGGGTTGCGATATGTAGATGAAACTGATCACAGCTCAAAATCGAAAAGCAAAAAAAAAAAATAAATCGGAGAAAAATACGTAGCGCGAAAAGGAAGTATGTGCGAGAACGTAGATGTCGATGACACCGGCCTGGGTGTCTTGAGAAATACAGGTGCCAGCATGCATTTTGTACACAAATTTCCGAAACGATAATGAACATGCGGGTTTTATAAACGTATGTGTATATGTATTTAAATATATAAAGAGAGACGTTAATATTATACTCTTTCAAGAGCACTTGAACTTGAAACACACACACACACGCGCCGCGTAGAGAGCATGTCCTCCGCACTGAGACTGCTGTTGATAGTTTTATTGAACGAAGTGTACGCGCGTAATACACGAAATACGCAAGTGATATTACTGTCGGTATGGGATATGAAAGGCGCACCAGAGGTATAAGTGTTTTTACCATACTTAGTGTTTTTTTCTTTTTTTTTGCTCAAAGAGCACACATGCCTTACTGACTGTGCTGTCTAATTTGCAGATTCCGTTCACTTTTAAAGTCTTCGGGCAATTGATTCAGCTAATTCTACGCAGGAACGACAAGATCGTGGCATCTGATTTTCAGATCTGGAAGCACAATGCGAAAGGTGTGACGGAAGAGTTATCGTTACTGAGTGCGCCAAATCCTTGCTATTATCTTCATAGTGATCACGTCGGTTCTGCGGCTGTAAGCTTCTGTCAAGAACGCGGACTGGTTGGTAATAATATAACTCGCTAAGTTTGGCTTCCAGCCTGGAGCGAAGCTCTTTGTGGCTTTGTTTCCAACGTTTCCTCAAACATTTCAGTGCATTTCCTTTCAAACATTTCCCTTCATCGGGAAGAGAAGTGCAATCTGATGCAGAATGTAGCGTTAGGTTGCTCCTCTTGCTGGTCAAGTGAACTGAGGTGTTCTCAAAACGTTGGGAACAAAATCCATAAAAACACAGATTCAAACTCGGACGCCAAAACCAGCATTAATATACTTTATCATACATATTTCTCATCACTTATGTAAGACGAATCTATCTTTGTTGGGAATAGCATGGACTCATCTTTCTGGAGAACATGACACTGGAGATTACGCCGCTGCGAAATAGCCTCGCCTCGTCGCCCTTGCTCGTTGACGATCCGTACAAAGAAGAAGAGGTCGATCTTCTCGGCGAACCCCATCTGGTCAAGCGATCGCCGGGCTGTCCCATTAAACCGAGGCTACAGTCGATTATGGAGCAACATCGTCGCTTCTTACGAGGAGCTGCGAAGGACAAGTTAACATTGGAGCTCGCGGTCTTCTTCGATGAAGCCGCGTATCGCTTGTTCTCGCCTTTTCTAGACGAAGACGACGAGAAGATCCGCGATATGTTGCTGGCGTACGTGAACGGTATCCAAGCGTTATACCATCACCCGAGCCTCGGTGTTCCCATCGATGTTTCGCTGGTACGCCTGGACATTATTCAAAGGCAGCCGCTCGACCTGCCGCATTTCGGCGGCGAGAGAGGCAGTCTGTTGGACTCGTTCTGCAATTACGCGATGGCTCGCAATCCCCCGGAGGACGCACATCCGCGCCACTGGGACATGGGCCTTTACGTAACCGGACTGGATCTCTACGCGATCGAAAACGGCAAGCGGAACGGCGCCACTATGGGATTAGCCGCGGTCGGCGGTATCTGCATCCCGCGCTACTCCTGCGTGATCGCGGAATTGGGAGTCACGGATCAGCTCGGCAAGCCGTATCCGTCCGCGGGCTTCACGTCGGTGTACATCGCTGCGCACGAGATCGGTCATAAGTAAGTTGCGCAACATGTCGGGCGATCGTTACGTACGCAGACCGGCATAATTGTCTGGACATGCAATGCGGCTAATCCAAGCAGAACAGAAGATCACGATGACGTCAAAGTGACGAGAAGTGTGTATGAAAACTCATGATTTGATCACTTTGATCTCGTCGTGATTTTACTCTTCTATCTAAATAACTTGTCAGGATTTTCTAGTCGTACGCATTATTGATTTCTTATTTATTGATTATCGAAAGAAGCAGGAATGATGCGTCGAAGCAGTAATCTGTCGCTATAATAGCCTCACGTTGATGTCCAGGAATAAATGTGTACGAATAGAAAATATTAATAAACTGATTATACTGCGTGTTAAGGCTGTCATGCATACAGCAAAATACGTATCGTATATTCAAGTAAATGTTACTTGTTTCGAATATTTCATAAGTTTACATGTCCACAAATCTATCATAAGTTCGTCATGAGCATTGTTAGAAATACATTCTGAAATTTTAGCAGGTTTAGCATTTAAATCAAAAATATTATGTTAAAACAAAAATTCAATTTGCTTACCGTATAGAGTCAGATCATCTTTTTCTTCAATGAAATTTTATAATATTTTTGCAAAGAGAACAAATTCTTTTGAGTATACAATAATGAGTTTTCCTAAAATGTAGGTTATATGTCGAGGCTATTATTAAGAAAAGTAAATTGAATAATTGCTTTTTTAGCAGTAAAATGATATTTTTCCGTATGTGCCGATTTGTGTATACAGATTGGCATAATTTCCTTAACATGCAAATAGACAATTATGATTTTCTAATCTAAATATTATTTCTAATCTAAATATTATTTATTGGTTATTCAAAGAAGCGTGAGCGACATGTGAAATAAGTAGATTGCTTTATTGTGGCTTTATACTGATGTTTAGAAACAAATGTTTCTAAAGGATTGGAAAATATTAGTAATCTGACTGTGATTTATACTGAGGCCATCATGTCGACTTATATGTATAGTCGTGGACAAAATATCACTGACAAGTATGTTTCACGTGAATTATGTCTCCGTTGTTCAATGGGAAGATTCTCCCGAGATACACCGAAACTCCTACAAAACATACTCGTCAAGAAGCTTTTCGTCCAGAAGTTTACGTGCATTTTGCGTCGCGATTTTTTTTCGGATGACTCTGTACAAAATGAAGAGAGATTACTATACATACAGACGCGAAATATCTCCCGCGAAGTGTGTCAGTTTTCGATGTGTGACCTCGGTTGAGTACTTTTACGCGCGGGATGACGGGAGGGCTTGATTTGCGCAAGCAAAAGGAAAAAACGACTTATGCAAATTGCGTTCTCGAGTAATTTTCGTGTCGAATATATGTACGACGAATTAGCTCACTCGTATGACCGTAAGGTAAAGATACTAATGCCGGGACATGTATCTAACTCTAGACACATTCTTATTGTCTTGGTTTTTAAATACGAATATTTAAACTTTCAGAACGTAAAATATATGTATATATTCAATGTATGTATATATCCAATATTAAAAGTTTAAATGTTCGTATTTAAAAAGACCAAAACGATAAGAAGATCCAGAGTTAGGTACGTGTCCAGACAGTGGTGCTTTTATCTCACGCGAGGTGCAAATACACGCGCTATTAGAGACGATGATTTGTTCGTTCGAAAGCTTAGGAATGCATCACGATTCGACCGGCAACGCGTGCCCCAAGGACGGATACATAATGTCTCCTAGTAGGGGCACTCGAGGCGAGACGATCTGGTCCGATTGTAGCCGTGAGATAGCCGAGGCCCTCCCGCGCACGAAAGCCTGCCTCTTGGACGCGCGGAACGCCTCGGAGCCGACTTTCGATCACACGCGATATCGTGACCTACCCGGAAGAGAGTGGACCGCCAAGAGACAATGCGAGCTACTCCTACGCGACAAGGACGCGAGCGCGGTGACGTTGTACCAGGCGTGTCAGTCTTTGCAATGTGAGACTCCCCGCAGGAGCGGCTACTACTTGGCAGGACCGGCGTTGGACGGTACGTGCCTTTCCCCACTAATTACTTTCTGATTCGATCGTCTAATTGCGCTTTTCCTCTTATAAGGTACTTACTGTGCGCCGGGCAGAGAGTGTCGTGGTGGAGAATGCGTGCCCGTGCTCGAATCACCGCCCGACGACAGCCAGAAAGGCAGTTGGAGCGAGTGGCAGGAGAGTCCCTGCGCCAGCGGCTGCTTACAAAGGTCCAAGGGTGCTCGTGTCAAGCGACGATTCTGCGAGGATCGGAATCACAGAGCTGCCGTAGCCTGCAAAGGACTGCATTACGACGTGCTGCTGTGCAAGGACGAGAGACTCTGCAAGAAGAAACGCCGCACGATCGGCGAGTTCGCCACTCTTAAGTGCGGCATCTTCAGCGATAGCCTGCCCGAGTTGGATGTCACTGCGAAGGGACTGCAGGCGACCCATGTGCCCGAACAGCCGTGGATGGCTTGCGCTATATTCTGCCGGCGAAGAGACATCGCCGCTTATTACGCGCCGCGTGTAGAATTAAACGACCTCGGCCTCGACCCGTATTTCCCGGACGGCACGTGGTGCCACGCCGAGGAGAGCCGGGATTATTTCTGCCGTCAGCATCACTGCCTGCCGGAAGACTTCCTATTTGGGAAGAAGTTGCCGCGGAGTGATCGTCGGCGCAAGGAGAACGAGGCCGGGGAACTGGGGCCGCAGAACGCGCGGAATCGCCTCGGCGTCGCCGATCGGTTCATTAAGTACCTGACCTTAGGTCCGGACGGCTTGCCATTGTTGACTTCGGTCTCGCGCGGCATCGCTTCCCCGCCCGACGAAGACGAATGGATCGACAAGGATTACATCGAGTTGCCCGCAGCCGCGTAACGGCTGCTCCAGCGCTACGTTATTTCAGCTATATCAATTATTCAGTTATCAGCGGTAGCGAAGAAGATAAGGGCGGGTAATCGTCTGTAGAGAATATCTCAGTTGTTGTTCCATAAAGAATTACTTTAGCAATCACTTTTGCAGTTACAATTTAACAAAGATAAGTAGTTATTAATTGACAAGTTTTTATTTGGGAGATGAGGAGAAGCGTAGTATAGCTTTTTTTGGTAGACTTGAACGTGCGCTCTCCTCGACTCATTTGAGAAAGTGTCTCGAGAGATAGGATAAGAAAGAGAGAGAGAGTGAGCGATGACGTCAACCCACTTCGCCATCTATTTTAAGAGTGTCTCGATATATTATATTCGTATATTCGTACACAGGAGCGGGTTGTGGAGAATTGAGGGCGATAAAGAGAGAGAGAGAAAAGAAAGAAAAGGCTGCATCTTGTGTCGTGTAACTTAATATAATTTTCGTATTATTCTCAGCGTACAAATAATTAATCAACCATTAAACTTAAGAGCACGTTACATAACAGGACAACGTGTGGCTCGACGTTACAGATGTTACGATCGCGCCTAGCTGCGTGTACTAGTGTTTCTCTGCCTTAATACTTAATATAAACAAAAATTCCTCCGTTTGAGATTTGTATGTACGAAAAAAACGATTCGCAGGATCCGCCCAAGCAATGTCCGAAACTTCTGTTTCATCGTTTCCCTTTCTTCCGTCCGCGTCCCGAGCGTTCCCGGGCTATTAAAGCGATTCCTTTTTTTTTAACAATTCGTATCGTGCGTGCACATGAATCTCAATTGAAACGCTCTCAAGTCTCCAATATTGCACTTACACTTTGTCTTACAGCTTTCGCACGTATAACGCGTACGTAAGCACACACACATTTACACCACACACCTCGAGATATGCGCACATATACATACATACATACATGCACACATACGTAACATACATCCTCACTTACAACATACACATGCGTAATAGAGGAAAAAGAAATAAACTTTGACGCGACAATCACACGAATTAGCGATACAGCAGAAATCCTCTCTCTCTATAATATATAATCATATAATTTAATATACATATTCGTCCTCAGAGTCTATCGATTCGGCTCAACGTTGCACGTCGTGTAGAGGCAGAGTGTACCAAGATCAAATCGCGGTTGGCGAATGAAAAGAGGAGAGTAATGGTCGTTGAAACGAAAAGTCGGAGGAGACATAAAAATAATCGATCTATTCGTTTTCTTTTTTGCGGTTCCTGTGCCTCTACGGACGTGTCGCGGAGGATGTTCGAAGTCGTGTCGCTCCCGTTCGTCCCGCGGCCGTCCTCGTTGTCGCCGCTGTCGTGGCCTCCGTCGCCGCGTCTTCGTGTACTAGAACGCACACGAGACTCCCGCCGATCGGTATGGCTTCGAGGTGTCCGAATGTGTCGATATACATATATACCCCCCCGTCCGTGTGCGACACCTGATAACGTATGCAGGGTCTCAATTGGGTAGAGTGTCGTACAATATATCCTTGGCGCTTTGCGTCAAAGTATCAGGGAATTTGATGTCGAACGACACGAGCAGATCGCCCTTCCGCGACGGCTCTTTGGGGAAAGGTAGACCGTGTCCTTGGAACCTCTTGACCGTATTCGGCTTGACGATGTCTCTCGTCAGATTCAAGGGTATCTTCTCGCCGGTTAGAGTAGGAACTTCGAGGATAGTACCGCATAGAGCCTGCTTCAGGCTCAATTTACACGTGTACCTAACGTCACTGCCTTCTCTCCTGAACAGCGGATGCGGCTTATCTCTGATAATAAAGACGATGTCCGCGGGTTCCCTTCGCGGCGACTGATCGCCCTCCTTCTGGAAGGTGATCTTTGTGCCAGCCTTCCAGCCTGGCTTCACGTTGATGGTGAGTAGCTTGTCCTCCTTCTTGGTGCTGCCATCCGGCTGTATCGCCCGTCTACAGATCTTCATCTTCTTCGTGCAACCACGCAGGATCTCTTCCAAGGTTATATACAGGTCGTGCTCGATCGCCGGATCCTGAGCGCGGTCCTTGCCGGCCGCCTTGCCGGTGTTTGGGCTCGCAAAGTTGAATGAGTGCGATCTGAAGGCACCACCTTGGCCGGGTGGTCGCGGCGGCCCCATGCCCAGCCCGAACGGATCCATATCAATATCCATGTCGTCGTCGTGGAAGCCGAATCCTCGGTTGCCGGCGAACTCGAACAGATTGTGGAACGGGGTCGCCGAGCCGAAGAATTGCGCGAAGGTCGCCCTGGGATCACCGTGGAAAGTATACGTGGCGCCTCCTCCGCCTCCGCCGGCCGAGGCACCCCCCTTGAGGCCCTCCTCGCCGAATTTGTCGTAAACCTCTCTCTTCTTAGCGTCCGACAGCACTTCGTACGCCTCTGCTATCTCCTTGAACTTCTCCTCGGCGCCAGCGCTCCTGTTCTTGTCGGGATGATATCGCAAAGCCAACTTCCTGTAAGCCTTCTTTATCTCCTCGTCGCTCGCTCCCTTGGCAATGCCAAGTATCTTGTAATAGTCCTTCCCCATTCCAGTTTATCGTTCCTGAAAAGATAGGAGAAAAGAAAAAAAGAAGCAAAGGAAAACATCAGAATAGCATTACCGTCATCTCTCGAGGCTCGTCTGCGACATGCGGAGTAAGCTTGGCGTGTAAATTGGAGCGAGAGATAAAAATCATTTATTTCGCTTGTACCTGTACTCCGACTCCTTCACATTGGAAAAGTGTTCCTCTTGAGTGAGAAAAATACTTCCAGCGCAAGGGAGCTGGAGTATACGTGCGCGCGCGTAAGCGAAGTAGATTATATTTATTTTTTACTTGACTTTCTTTTTTTTTTTGGCTTACTCCGCGTACTGCAGACGAATCTTCGGCGCGCCTCGCGATCTCGTCGGGATGGTGTTTCCACGCCCTCGGTCGCTCTAAATTCACCTCGATTCGTGTCGACAGCTCAGAAGGAAAGTTCACCGCCTAATAAATCACGTGTGCTCGCGCTATGTACCTTCGCCTCCTCACCGCCATGATATTTTCACGCGCTGTGGAACACACACGTAGCCGTGTGTCGGACGAATCGCGCGCACGATCGCGATCAGGAGGGAAGACGAGAAGTGGAAGCGCGATACGTTCTCGGATGTTCCGCGCGCGCTCCTGCTCGCCCGCCCACCCTCTGCTCGCTCGCGTACGCTTTTTACGGTCGCGCGTAGCGCGCGTCCGCGCCGTCCCGACGACGACGTGACGGAATCGCGTCGCTCGCTCGCGTGACGCGAGCACTTGTCGCGTCGCTACGCGAATTCCCTGCCATTTTTTCTCGCGCGCTGCGCGTCGAGAGGCGGAGAAGCATCGGGAAGCCAGCGCTCGCTCCAACACACCCACGTACATATCACCGATATCTATTTCTGGCAATGATGAGCGCGAATACGCGACGAATGTTTCGCTCCTTCGTGCGATTTCAAGCTGCAACGCAAAAATAAATACCCCACCCTTCGGGGACCGAGCCCTGTGTGTGTCATTGTCGTCGTCGTCGTCGTCATTGTCGTCATCGATGTCGTTATATCGTTCACGAATCACAGGCGAAACGAGCGCGTCGCGCGAGAACAGACGGCCCCACGGGGCGAAAACATACGGAGAGCGCGTGCAAGCGTTTCGACATTTCGTAGCAATTGTTTCTCTCCACGACTCGCGCATCGCGATGAACTCGGGTCGCGAGGTTAAAAGGCGCGTGTCGATCCGACAGATCTCGCTTTCTCTACGTTTCTCGGTGCTACTGCTACTGCTGCTAACGTTAGCAGTATTACTCACTGTCGTTATTTCGTAATCACTCTCTTCAAGCACTATGTTTCACGCAGCACTCGTGAAGGATGGCCAAATATCGAGCTCGTACAGGCTCGTTCGCGAAATCCCGTGAAGAACAATCGCGAGCGCGAATCCAAGGGACGCTCAACACTTTCCGTTGGTTCAGTCGCGTACTAAACTGTCGCGGAGCGGCGCAGGCCATATATATGAACTTGCCATCTAGCAGCTTCCGGAACTTTCGAGAATGGATCGACGCCAGTTCCGCAGCGCTCCCCGCCTATGACGTCAGCCGAACGATTCCGTTTGGCGCGAGTTTTCAATCCGCAACGGCGCGCACATGAGGTACGCGTTAGTGCGAGTCGTTGAGAAATGATCGAATTAAGACTGTTCATTTGTCGCGATTATCTAAGATCTAAGTCAATGATTTAAAAAACGAGAGAATATATGTAAAAAATTTATCACGAAATACGTTGAAACAAAAAGGCATTCAAAAGATGACACGCGATCGAGAGCATATTTGTAAAATATTTTAAAAACTTCTCTTTTCTTCTAATGATCTAATAACAGCTGTGAAGTTAACATGATGTAAGCTACGTGTAAGTACGTTTTAACCACGTGATTTTGTTAAAATTTATGACTGTTTACTTTTGGAGCAAAAGTTCTCGAATTATCTTACACGTGTACTCAGTTGATTACAAGTGTTATCTTTATGAAACTTTAACAATATGGTTATCACGAGCGATAATTGGCTACATTCCAGTTATGCTTCAGACATTTGAAAAGTATTGTTACAGATTAAAAATATTATTCTTATTATTGTTCACATAATCTTAGTGTTTTGTATTATCAGCATTGTTGCTGCTATTATTATCCTGCTGAAAGTTTCTCAGTAATCGAAGGATGTTCTTCGCTAAGCGCATTTCCTTAAAACGCAAGTTTCTAGATAAATTATAGAATTTTAACTTGAAATTTAATTATATATCTTCTTTCAAAGTTGGCCAAGGAATTTACAGTTGAAGGAGAATGAGCTCAGATGCTTTGTGTACTAAAAATATTTTATAGAGGAACCAAAAGAAATTTATAAATTGATTAAAACCTTGTATTCTATCTGTTTAAACGTAAATATAGAGCATGCCTGCACTCTTGCGAATTTAGCGGCATATACTTGTCGTAAAAGTCTTGAACCAACTCCTCCATTTTGAAGCCGAATTTTTGGTACAATAACAAGGCGGGGTTTGTAACCGACACATGTAACGTGACATCTCGTCCCATACATGTTTGTATTAAGTGATATAACATGAATGTGCCGATGCCAGCATTCCGCCACTCTGGTCGTGTTAAAATGAATGAAATGTAGGCTTCGTTATATCCAACATCTGGCACCAATACCGCAAAACCTATGACCAATTTTTTATACAATACCACGCATGTGAAGTCTGGATATTGTAAACATTCGGTCACTGAAATAAAAGAAGAAGACATTGTGAATACTTCAGATTGACGATTGCGCCGGAAACACTCGCGTGTCAACAAATTCCCAAAGATCTCGAAATATACTTACGATCTATGCCAGGCCAGAAGAATTGGTTGCAGAGACTGTTGATCGCCGGGATATGCTGCGGTTTAATGTAGGAATAATCAATAGACGCTCTGGGCGGCGGTCTCCATTCTGGATTATTTTTATTTACTTTCGTGCACATTTCTTCCATGATCCTTAACCATAACGGCCGCGAGCAAGTATCTTGCCTTATGAACGGCTTCAACAGTCTATTTGTATACGGACTATGTACGGCCGTAGGTTCGCAGTAACCCTGCAGCCTTTGTTCAAAAATGCATCCCAGATCGTCGACGAAAAATCTATCCAATACCCGGTCGTTACTTTTCGACGGTTTCGCGAATGCTCTCGACTTCGATTCGAAACAATCGACATCTAACAAAGGCAAGCCGAATTCTCTTTTCGTTTTACGCACCGCTAATTTTCTATATAGCCTTCTAACAAGGCACGGTGCTTTGTAGAGATCAGTCTTATTGACTTTTTGTAACAAATATACTTCCTCCTGGTACGTCATGCGTGGTATCTTTGTATCTATATATGAACACACATAAAACATACATAAAATGTATATATATCTTTTTTTTTATATCGAATATGCGCTATTCAATGGAAAATTACCAGTAATAGCAAGTTTCTTATCCCAAGGCCATTTACGGCGGTTTGTTCCTTTGAATAACGAAACTGGAGGCTGTTTTTGTACAGAGACGTGACTGTCACTGCTATCTTCGTCGTACTCTTCTTCCTTTATATTTTTATTTTCATTACTACTATCATTTGGCATTGGAGGGCTTGTTTTGAATAACCACTCATAACCTTCCATGAGCTCTGCTGACTGAACATTGGTGTTTTCATATTCAAAGTCGTGTATTAAATCAGGGAAAATATAGTTCTCACTTGCCAATGTAACGTTATCCTTGTACAGTAGTGTGTCATTAGTATACGAATCTATATCACAAAACTTCTTTAGCATAAATATATTTTACACATTTTGTACTGTCTAATACGTACCATTTGGCTCATCACACTCAAACAGGAAATCAGACAATGTCTCAGTAGGTTGAATATAAACATGAGTATATGTAGATGAACTTTGATGCTTTAACAGTTCTGTGTTACAACTGCTATCCCCTCCAACAGAAATAGTACTAGAGTCCGACAGAGCAGAACTGCCATCTACAAACGACTTATAAGATAATTTTGTATCTGAATTTTTCTTTCTATTTAGTATTACTTTATTGTCTGCAAACAAAAATCATGCAATTATTAATGTTTTGTAATATATACATTGCACAGTGTACCACAGTGGTATTACTTCTGGCAATTAAAACTTCAGGAGGACTGGTATCCAATAATTTCCACCATCCAGACTCGCCTAATTCGTTGGTACCAGATTTGAAATATACTCCACCATAATGAGATAGTGTGCCAGAAATAGTGCCCATCCAATTCTTTTTCTTTTTCCTAAATGACATTAAAAATTTTTAAAACTATGTATGCAATATACATATATATAGGTATATATGAAATATACAGTAAAATAAAACACTTACACAGACTTTTTAAACAGAGTATCCCAATTTTTATCTACAAAAGTACTAATGTCAGACTTCCAATGAAAATATCCTCTGTTACTGATACCACTTGATTTTTTATACAAATTATAAAGAGTCAAGATAATAACAGTGAGCCATGGCATCTTATTACGTATCACTGTTTCTTCACCTTCTGAACTGCAAGAGGCACAATTAAGCTCAAAAAAAACGTCTCCCATGAAAGAACTTGGTACACTGCCTGTTTTTAAACATTCTATATGTAATTTTTTATTGCATCCACCACTACAATGTAATGCTGGGTTATCGTAAGGGTTGCATGTTTTTCCACAATTTTTGCAACTCTCAGTGTTCTCAGTCTCTTTTGATTCATTTGAACTGTCCGTTGTATTTTCTTCTTCAATAACTTCTGACATTTTTCTTTTCTAAAATGTTCAATGAATTGATCAAAGGAGAAACAATATTTATCCTCTCTCTAGTATATATATACATATATATATACATATATATCTCCAATAAATAATCAGAGACGCCTGAGCTACGTTCCCACGTGTCAGTTTCAGTTTCAATATATGGCTGAGCACACTGGACAGTTGAGTAGCTCTACGCCATTACTTTTCCCCACGTGTCACATAGCGAATTCGGTAGTTTGCACTAGTGCGCACTGAGTGCGCATTAAGGCTTGTTTACAATACATTCTTATATTTAAGATCGTATCTTAAATACATATTTAAAAACATTTTAACTAATAAAATGATTCGTACGGATATTATACATATCATATGGTTAAAAATATTTGAGAATTTATTTGAGAATTATTTAAGACAATCTTTAAATATAATAACATACTATGAACAAGCCTTAGTGCGCACTCATGCACACTAGTGCAAGCAACCGAATTCGCTAACAGTCTACAGTACTCAATAATGGGTGTTTACGATAATTCGAGTTGGAGTTAGTACGAGTTAGTTTCACTAGGGCTGAAAAATATGATAGTCACAAGCATCTAGTATTTTCATGATTCATGACAACTCAATGCTGCCCGATAAATCGAGTAGAGATATGGCTCCTGCACACAGGATGCGGTAATGCTTGCCGCGCGGCAGAAGTCCGCGCGATAGCCAGTCAATATGTTGTTTTTTCGTAAGAGCTAAAAGGTTATTACAAAAAGCAGCATATTGATTGGCTGTCGCGCGAACTTCCGCCGCGCGGCAAGCATTATTGCGTCCTATATGCAGGAGCCATAAGATTATTTAATAGAAAATTACTATATAGTACGCGTATCAAGTGCACGATGTAAACCAGGCCATTGACTAAGTTTACACGGCAGCTTAAAACCGGTTTAGTAACAACCGTATTTAGTAAACTCTCACATCCGATTGGTCTATTCTTTTAGATTTAGAAATATATTCCAATCGTATTCAAGAGTTTACTAACTACGATAATTACTGAACCGGTTTAATGGCTCTTGCACACACGACGCGGTAATGCTTGCCGCGCAGCGGAAGTCCGCGCGATAGCCAATCAATATGTTGTTTTTCCGTAAGAGCTAGAAGATTATTACGGAAAGCAGCATATTGATTAGCTGTCGCGCGAACATCCGCCGCGCGGCAAGCATTATGGCTCCTGTCCACAGGACGCGGCAATACTTTCCGCGCGGCGGAAGTTCGTGCGACAGCCAATCAATATGCTGCTTTCTGTAATAACCATGTAGCTCTCACGAACAACAACATATTGATTGGCTGTTGCGCGAACTTCCGCCGCGCGGCAAGCGTTGCCGCGTCCTGTGAGCAGGAGCCATTGGCTGCATTCAGCAGACTCAACAGTTGCACAACAGTTGAGTAATTTGTCAATGTAATTGGTCTAGATTTAGGGATCTAATAGCAAGAACCAATAATCGTTGATTGCTCACTGAGCGCTTTTTCTACTGAA